ACACACACACACACACACACACACACACACACACACACACACACACAGTTAGATATGGTTAAGGTGCTAAAGTTAAGTGTGATTGCAACTCATATTTTTACACCTTTTGCTGCTGGATGTCGACACTGGCATAGAAACTCTGTAGTTGTTATTTTATCGATTTGAATCCAAAAGATGATAATCAAGTGAGAGGTAATTATTAGTAGTACGAATGTTTCTAAAGATTAATATTCAAGATTTCTAGGGAGAAAAATGAATACCAAATAAAAAAGAAACAACTTCTCTAGTCTCATTTTTCACAGCTGTACATTTTTAGTTACAGTAGTAACACCACAAAAGTATGGTAACATGCTCACAATGACAATGCTAACATGCAGATGCTAAGCAGCAGGTGTTTACCACATTCACCATCTTAGCTTAGCATGTAAGCACGCTAACATTTGCTAATTAACACTAAAAACAAAGTGCAGCTGTGCCAGAATTGGCATTGGAAGAGTATCTCTATCAAATTTTATGGCAATCTCTTCCATAGTTTTGGAAATTTCACGAAAAACTACAAATGCCAACCTCGTGGTGGCGCTAAAGGAAGAATAAGGGAATCGCCTCTGGGGACCAGGAATGTCTGTACAAAATATCATGGCAATTTATCCAGTAATTGTGAAGATACTTCAGTCCGGACCAAAGTTGTGAGCCAACAAACCAACTGAAACTGCCATCCATAGAGCCTTTCCTGTCTTGTGGCTGTAAATACATGCATAACAAAAAATAATACAATAATATAAACAACTGTTTGGGATAAACACAGCCAGTAAGTAACATAATTATATTCCTGCAGTGAAAATAATGAGATTTTCTTAGGCATGACTTGGTGAGGTGTACTGAATGCTACAGGTCGACAGTGATGCTGTTTCTGTTTAAAGCAGATCTAAAGGAAACGCAAAGCTCAAAACAGCCTCTAAGAGATCATCAGGGAGTACTGGGGCATAGTAATCAACTGCCATACTTAAGTGAATCTGTGCACATGTATCTGTTTGTGAGCACAACACTGTGTGCGTCGTGTGTGTGTGTGTGCGCACGTGCTTGTGCTCTCAAGGGGTGTCATGTGCTTGGATTTCATTAGTAAAACGGCCTTTTATGAGCACAGAAACAGCACATGAATTACACCAATGATGTCTGAAACTACAAGACCAAAGTAAATGCTTCCTTTTAATGTTCAGACTTAATTAGTTCTCATTCCAACCTTTCGCAATTCTGTAAGCTCTCACCGCTGCTGCTTAGCCTAAACACATAACTGCTTCTTTTGAATGTGTCCGTGCCCTTAATAGATCAAAGCGGTGCAATAAAATTCAGTTTTTTATTTATTTGTGGGATGTACAACCCCTTTCTTACTGAAATATTCAAAATCAGTCAAATAACAGTGTTTGATAACGTATGAGCATGGCAACCATGCAGAGACACTTACAGCCTGCAGAGATTAATAGTTTATGCTAATTGCATTTACATGCACAAATAATTGCATAATTTATATTTGTTTGATGAATTTAAACATCAGAATAATGCTCCAGACAACATGCCTGCTTTAATCTTATGTTTCTGCGATGTGTCTTATTCCTTACAGTACTTGGATTGGTACATGTGTAACTATTGCACAGCATTGTTCGCAGCTGATGTGAACTGTATGATCAGTACTATTACTGCTATTTATCTTTCTTCATCCTGTATTATATTCAAGGTAATTAAATGTATGACAACAGAGACACTCATTAACTATCAAAAGCCCCTAATTTGATTAACCCTTAATTGGAGTGTGTGCGTATATATACACACACTCAGACACATCCATGTGTTAATGTAGCTCCTGTGGGTGTAACAGAAGACTGCGTACATACACCTGCTTCTCCAGAGGCAGAGTAGGGTCCACTCTCTCCCCCACCATGGTGAGGCCTTCCTGTGGCATTCGAAACTTCATCCCCCCTCCTGCCAGCGGGCTGGACCTGGGCCCCGGCGGACGCAACCGCTCTGTGGGCGACGAGGAGCGGTCCCACTCTGCGCCATCAAACTGCACTGTTGGCAGACGGGGAGAGAAAAAGTGAGTCAGAGTATTTACACAGTGCTATGATCAAAAGGGATTAAACCTCACAGCAGGATTTGGGTAAACACCAGACATCCGGCTATTGCAAAACCACGCATGCAGCCGAGAGACCTCTCGTGGATGGGTCAAAGTAGAGGAGAGCCTGACAGACTGCAAAACTATCAGCATCATCACAATTACCGGCATCAACATTTTTATGAGTCACCGAGGGCAGATAAGAGACAGGAAGTTGGCGTCTTCCCTGCTTGGCTCTGTTGCAAGTCTTTGTCTTCCACTAGGCTACGCTGCAGATTACTTAATGTTGACGATACTGATTCTATTCTGGAGCAAATTACGTGTACAGACCAAAGTGTTATTTACCCCTTCTGTGCCTGATTTTGGTGAAATTCAATCTACAGAACTTGTAATTAAACATTAAGTGTACCGTAGCACTTTGAAGTACCTTAAAATGAACAAGGCAGACATCTCAATTTAGAGGGAGCTTTTCATGCGTGGTTGATTCAGGAGGGGAATGTGGTAATTTAAGAAGGGAGAGCTTTAAACCCCCCAGAAAACTGACAACACAACAAAAGCAACAGGCAGGGACAAATGCAAGGTGGTGCAGATGCAGGCTGCAGGGTTGTTGTTTTTTTTGGATGGAGGTAGAGCAGATGTAGGACAACAGCTGGGTCATGAAGGACAGGGTGACTGCATACGAGTGTGTTGGCGGTGACAAAGGGAGGCAGTAAAGGGGGAGGGTTGTGTTCAGGGTGGGAGGTCACCTGGCTCTCTGACTGGGGGCTCCTCCTCCAGCTGACCCACCGGGGCGGGCCAAGGCAACTCCGACAAGTCCCTCATTTCTAATAGAGGGAAGGGGAGCGGGGAGGAGGCGAGAGAAACAAAAGGGAGCGACAGAGTGAGAAAACAGCAGATGGGCTCGAACAAAGTAACTATGGGAGGATATGTGAGAGAAGTGGTGGTGATTAAAGATGCAAGACTGAAATCAGGTGCAAGATTTGAATGTGAGGAGGCGAGAGTGAGCAAGAAGTGAGATGTGGAAGCCCTGTTGAGAGGGTGCATGTGTGATTACATGACAGCGATGTGGTGTGTAATCAACTATACCTCCTGTCATGAAGAAAGGGAATAAACTCTAGCTCCTGTCTCTTTGCTTCATCACACTTGTGGAATAACCATCTTCAGACCCTTTATTTACATCATGTTATGTGTGAAAAGACTGAAGAAGGCAAAGAAGATAACAGCAGAGAGGACATGAGAAGTCAGAGGCTGCATTATTTATAGTCATTTGAACAAATCCACTTTAAGAAACAGTCTAGTAGCAGTAGATGCAATGAAAACAAAACGTGACTTTATGTGCACTGCAACCCACAGAGCAGTGAGCCAGAGGAACAGCGGAGCGCGGGGGCAGAATAATGCTCCATTCACTGTCCTACCAACAGTAGCAGAGCGGCAGAAGGTTCACAAAACTGAAAATAGCTCATTATCTACCGTGGCAGGCAACCATGTACTTTAACAGTCATTACTGCAGCCTTACACACACACGGACACACAGTCGCATTATGCGATTTGCCAGTTCCACACCGTGCATTCGGCTCCTGCTCACAGCGAAAACGGATTACAAAACAAATAAAAGGAAAAGTGGGGTGACGTCTTAATGAGCCGACAAATCCAAAGACCCCCCAGGCCGGCGACATCAAAGGCCATTTGAATAGGCGTTTGGAGAGAGACCCAAGCTGTACATACATGCCCCTCTCCCTCCCTGGTTAATTATTGAGCAGGCAGACACACTCCGCCACTTTCTCTGGCTCTCCGTGAATTATTGATGCATGGCGCAGTACAATGGCCCCATCTGGAGCAGCCCGCACCTCCGCTGAAGCCAGGATTAAAGTGTGGCCTGGCACCCCTCAATAGCAGACATGCATGCACACAAACACACCAGACACCTCGAAACTCCAGCTCTGCCACACTGCTGCCTGTCCGCTCGCCACCACATCACATTTCACACCTCTAATTTTCAAGCAAAACTGAGAGTCACCTATTGGAAAGATAGAAGGGTGTAAAGGAGAAGCACACAATAGCAAGTGAAGGGTAACAAGAAAGGAGAGAGAGAGAAAATAGAGACAGCCAAGACAATTTATTACAAATGTGCTCAGCCATCTGAGTGACAGATAAGCTGGGGTAGTGGTGTTACACAGACGGAGGGGGAAATTCCATCAAGATTCCTTTTCTTTGGTTTTCAGGTGGCTGCTGTCCCTCTTAAGGAATCATTCTGTTTGGTGTTCTTGAATATTGTACCTTGAAAGTTGTATTTTGCTTTGCCAAAAAATAAGAGGTGAGATGATTTCAATTGTTTCCCCAGGCTTATCCTAATTTCTTTTTTTGGCTTTGGACATGGATATTTCAAACAATACACTTGTTTCTGGCATCCATTTCATTTATCTTATAAATTGTTGAGTTTCAAACCCGTTTTTTGGGGGGGGTTTGGGTATTGGAAGTTCTCTTGTCATAACAACATTCAATGTCAAATCACGGCCTGATTGGATAAGTAGAATGAAAACCAGTAGATGACTGGATCCTTAGGTCCTTGATAAAAACCTTAAAAAGGTGGAGTCAGCGATTTTGTCAAAGTAAGCGCATATCTCCTCACAGTCCGCTAGCTTTCCATTCTGTGTGTGTGTGTGAAGGGGGGAAAAAAATGGTGTAAACAGCCCCGGCTCTGTAAATATGCAACAAAATAAGTGTCTCGAACCGAGCTACACAACAATGTTCCAGCCAATCAGCAACAGGGGAAAGGTCATGGATGTATAAAGAGAAAGGCAACACAATACAAAATCTATTAATAGTATTTGTTTGGCACAAATATCAACAATGAAGAATTGCTGACTCCACCTTTAATACTTCTCAAATATCAAAATAATAATAATCACAAAAATGTAAAAGTGACCAATAAACAAAACAACAGAAATAATCAGACCCATAACAGATGTCCGTGTCTCTGTGGCTCATGCTGTGCAATGTCTGCTTTACGGTGCGGCTACAACTGACAGGTCGCGACCACGCTGATGTCCGCTCTGAGAGTTGTACGTGTTTTTCGTCTTACAACGTAAACCCTTCCCCAGTGTGTCTTCAGAATGTGAAAGTTCATTTTAACATTTTGGTTGTCAAAAAAATGTCTTGTTCAGCGCTCAGTTGAACTTAGCTCCACCCACGTCTGGTTGCAAAAAAAAAAATTCACTGTAGTCCACAAACCAATGGGTGTTGTCTCAGGGACAATGTCAACTTCTTATATACAGTCTATTGTTCAGTCAGACCCATCACCACTGGCAGTGTGGAGATAGGTCTGGATATGCACAGCTAGATTTAGGGTAACCCCTCCTAACCCTGCAGGCTCCACCATGATAACTGGGACTAGTGTCTTTCTTTTATCCAGGAGAATTGGCCGCTCTCTCTACTGCAAAAGGCTGAACATACAAACAAACACACAAACCTTGCCACAACTCCTCACTGTGATAACAAAAGGCTGAATACCAAGCTAACACACACACACACACACACACACACACACACACACACACACACACACACACACACAGACAATCACGACATGTCACTCATTCACTGGAAGGGAACATCTGGCTTCCATTCACTTCTAATGGGAACCTGTGGATCTCTCATAGATAGCGGGCTATTACAAGACAATGAGAAGCACTAATGGTTTACGGACAAAGGCACTCTCATCAGCGCTCACAGCATCGGTTCATGATTTGTGCTTAAAATCTACTCCACTGTATTCATTATATATGCTTAAACAAAGGAGTGTTTTTCCACCATCAGTTCCGTTTCCCATCTTACCCCAGCTAAAGAAACAGGCTACAGCGATTCAGTAATCTTTGGTCTGCAAAAAATCCCACATGTGCTGGTGCCTCTTCTACCTGCTAGTAGCAATTACCCGAAATAATGTGAGGGGGAGGGAATGACCAGACCTTTCTGTGTTGCACACAGGACACATCGCCTTGAGTGACAGATTACCAACTTTTCAAGCACACCAGCTGTTTTCTGTGGCCGTGTAATAAAGGAAGAACAGACAAAGACAATGGAACAGCTTCATTAGGTCCATTAATGAAGACATCTGTTTTTCAAACAGGCCTGGCATCACATCTTTTCTCCGCACACAAAGACCTTCTGCTGGGCAAAATGGTCCCCAGGCAGACAATTAACACCTTATGCCGGTGAAGAAGAAAAACACAAATTCATACAAGTTTCCTTTTCCTAATATGCATCCACACCATTTAGATTTGAATTTCAACCACCACACGTCTTGTCCGTGTATCCATTTTCCAGGCATTCATTAAATCTATCCCTCTTTCCTCCTCGCACCGCTTTCACCTTTCTTCCTCTAAGTGGGGCATTATCTCTCTTTTGATATTCCCTCGCTCCTCTCGTCTCTTGCCCTACTCTACTTCCATCACCCCTCCACCCATCTCTCACGTCGGGCGGCGAGAGGGAATCACGAAGGACATGCCTTTTCATTAATGTCAGTGAAGGTTCACGCTGAAGGAGAAAGAAATGCAACAATGGGGAGAAGGAAGGGGCAGGTGAGAGGAAATGTGACAAAGAGTAAGAGTAAAGAAACAGAGGAAGCGACAAGAGTCCTTCCACTGTAATGGTAAATTGATGAAGAGGCTGGTCAGATGGAAATGGAAACCTTTTTTTTTTTGTGTGCGCTCACATTTGCATGCACACACACACAAATACATTTCAAGGCCCCTACAGGGACATACACACATGCAGAACAGCCCAGAAAACCTTGTTCTGTCCTGTCGGACACCAACACATACAGATGCAGACCATCCATCAAGGTGTCTTTGCAAGCTCTGCTAAACCGACCTTCCGTATCACTTTAAAGCACCCTTCAGCATCTAGCCCAAAATACTATTCACACAAGAATGGATAAAGCAATCCAATGCTCTGGATGCTGATCTTAAGTACATTAAAGGTTTACCATGTTCAGCATCTTAGTTTAGCATGCTAACATCTGCCCACTAGCCCTAAACATAAAGGTCAACTGAGGCTGATTGAATGACATTAGTTTTGCAGATATTTGGTCATAACCCAAAGTATTGGACAAATTCAACCTTTGACCTGATGATGGCTCCAGATGAAAAGTGAAGGGATCCCCAAAGGGATCACCCGTGAGAAGAGAACTCTGTTGTGAAGTTGATCGTTGATTTTAGAAAAAAGAAGGCAAAGACGCACACCCTCGTCAGCATCATAGGAACAAGTTTGCAGATTTTATGTTCCTGGGAACCAGCATCACAAACAATCTGACTTGGTCATCACACATCTCCATCCTCGGGAAGAAAGCTCATGAACGGCTGTATTTCTTAAGGAAACTTAAAAAGGCAAAATCCCGATGGGGACATGCATGTCTGTTCTGTTCCAAATTTCATGCCATCAGAACATTTTACTCAAAACCACAAACGGCAACATCATGGAGGATCACATGGATACCCACTTTAACATGTTTTTGTGCTGAAAACAGTTTGTCTGAACCAATTTAAAAGAAAAACACAAGCCGTTTGCCTTTATGACACACACATTCATTCTGGGGAGCTTCCCTGCAACAGCCCCTGTCTTCTGCTGTTGCCTAATGAACAGCTGGACTGGAACAAGTGGAGGATAAGTGCTTTTCTCAATGGCACCATGATAGTAATTTCTAGGGATGGAAACGTTATTCATTCATCCGTCCTCATCCAGATTTCCAGCTGATTTGCGACTCTCTAATCATGCTCACACTCCCATCTATCGACAGCCATCATCTCCATCCAACAGCTCAAAGCTCCTTTACTGGACTGAAAACTGACAAACATGAAATACCTGAAACATGCATTCATCTGTTCGTTAGTTGTTGCCATCAGAGAGATAATTAGATTGTGCCTTTCATTAGCGCACTAATTGGTGCCGAATGGTTGCAGAGCCAATCACTCTCCGCTGGACTGTCTATTGACTTCCAAGAATTAATGACTGCTGTAATTTGAGTTGGATGGTGGTGACTGGAGACAGCTTTCTAACGTCGCAATTAAAACCCATCGAACTGAGAGCAGTCCGACCCCTCAGGCACTGCTAGATTCACACTCGCACAGCTGAAGTGGGCACTGGAAAATAAATTAAAATGCTTTGGAGGCAAGCTTATTTCTGAGACTATTTGAAAAACAGCCGTAGAATGCAATACTCACCCGGGCGATTACATTTAAGCAAGGATAAGCTGTGAAAATCATAATTACAGAGATTCTCCTCAGAAGCGCTTGCATGAATGCAATGCACGCAAATCCACATACAATATGCACCAGCCCCCCCCCCCCCATTTGTGCCAACATGCACACAACCTCTTCTCACCCTTGAATTAGGGGGGCCTGATAATCAGAGCTGGAAAACCTAGTTGAGAATCCACATGTGTGTGTGTGTGCGCCTGTGTGAAGGTGATGATGAGGGGCTGCTGGCAGATTGCGAGGCCCCCCTTTGCCCCCCTGCAGCGGGTTATCTGAGTGAGTGTGTCACATCCACAGGGAGGGAGGGCCATGGGGACAGCACCATCACCGCTGCTGCGTTGGCACATAGATAGATAGATATAGATATAGATAGATATAGATATATGAGAGATGCGTTAGCAGATGACGGATTGCACCTTGCCACAATGGCCCCGACTCCCCCCGACCATTAATTCTCCTCAAGGCCCCTCCCCTCTGCAACACTGGGCGTCCATAAACAGCCATTGAGCTGCCACCAAACATACCATAACCTTCCATTTCTCTCCAGCTAGCTTTCTCCACAGCCTCTCTGTCCATCTCTCTTTTTCTGCTCCGTCCTTCTCATCTCTCCCCTCCCTCACATGTGGGCCGTGCCTAGCAACACAGAGTGGCTCTGGGAATATGGATTAAATGTGAGAATGGAAAACACTGTTTGTGTGTTTACACTCCAGTGCTTTGGTCTGCTCAGACAGACAGCACGCCAGCTCAGAGTGCTGACTCCAAATGGAAAAAACAAGGGGTCAGACGACTCGAGTCGCACAAGCGTTTCCCTCCACTGCGCTCTCTAATGGTACTGTGAGCACTGCTCTGCAGGAGCGCAGACTGTATTGCAGCACAAAGAGGAAAAGCTGGAGAGGAATAAAGCGACAGATGAAGCAGGAATGAGCGCTAAGTAGGCGAGGGCTGATATTGGCTTTTAAATTAACTGTCGTGCGCCTCCTTTTAACATCACCTCCGCTCTCAAATAAGTTACGGAGCCTCTTTGCTGCTCCTCTGCTTAATGCGATTACAGCCTGAACATGGTGTGAATGTCTTTGTGTGTGTGTGTGTGTGTGTTCAGACAATGGTGCGCTGACCATGACTCTCTTATTACCACTGGATCGGTCATGCACACGCAGGCATGTAATTAACTGAGAAGAGAAAGGGGGGGGGGGGGGACACAGGAGGGAAGAGGGGAGGAGAGGCGAGAATGGAGAAGAGTGCGTACGAGGCTAGGTTGATTTATTATCCCATCACCTTGACCTCGGTGACTTGGAGATGCAGCTCAATTAAGCCGACTTGGCCTTGCCTGCCTTACACTGATCCTCTCCTAAATGACCCATCAGTCCAGTTCTGTTTCCCTTTACCCCTCCGGTTCTCTCATTTCTACTTCACTCTCTCCCTCCAATTATATTCAATACACGGAACGTAATAAGGTTTGGGACGTGACATGCACCGTCTGAAAAATAGTAATCATGCACTGACGCCGATTATTTTACATGAGGATTATGAAAATAAAGGATTCGTTCCTCTGCTAACCTTCTCTCTCTCATATACACACACACACACACAAGACATCGCCGACAATTCTAATGATCATCTCAGAGGTTGTTGTTCTGACTGTGGTCCGTCATATGTGAGAGAACAATAAATCAATGGTCAGCAGGAGGTGTTTAGATGCAGTAAAAGAAACGGAGAGATGCGTGTCATCTGAGCTGAGACAGTGAAGGTCACAGCACTCTGTTTTCTGCACACACACAAAAAACAAAAAAGGATTCCGAGCTGTAGTGATGGGGGAAGACTCTACATTAAAAGGTCAGGACAGTGAGATGAGTATTTCACTATGTAGTGATGGCAGCATGGCTCCCTGTGTGCTCCTGGCTTTGACCTTAAAACAGCCCTTAACCATTTTAACAAATCCATTTTTTTCGTTTTTTAAATGCACATTTTGTGAGATACGTCTTATGCTTGACACCCAGAAGCTCTGGGAGTTGTACAATTGTCTGTGCAGTAGGTGGTAGGGATTCAATGTTTGGCTAAATGACACTTACAATACAATGGATGATTGCCAATAGGGCGGCATTAAACCGGGTGTTCAGTTAAAAGGGATTTTCCTGCAAACTGCTTCGCCATCCTAAATATTACAACCTCAATTTTTGCTAAAAGCTTATATTCTGGGACGCTCTGAATATCGATTTACATATGCAATGAAGCATGATTCAGCAGCTCCATGGTCTAAAATGTATTCATCAATTGATTTCCTGTATAATTCTGACATTTCTCAGAACAACTGCCATGTTCTCCAGTTTGAAAATTACAAGCAAAGACCAGTAGACAGTCCAGTCAGGGGAGCATTCCTCCAATCAGGTGAGGGAACTTCTAATTGAAGGACAGCTTATCGATTATCTCTTACAACCAACATGTAGGTGGCTTTTGCCAGACCGTGCTCGGCCCTGATATTTATTGACTTTACTGTAAGAATATTGTCATAATCTTTACCAGTTACCTGCAAAAGCTTTGGAGATGTGATCCTTCTTCCATTCCCAGGGTTGGTCATACTCATCAGCCGGTCTCTCGTCGTCTTGCGGCAGCCTGCTGCTCTCCTTGCTCTCCTCCTGAGGTTCTCCGTACAGCAGCCCCGGGCGCTGGCCTCGCTCATCTTCATAGGGCGTATCGTAGAGCTGCACTCCCCCCCGCGACCGTCCTCCTCCTCCTGGACCGCGCTGCAGCTCTGTTGATGTATATGCAAAACAACACAGATTCATAACCTGACACATGCAAGCACGCAAAAATAAAAATAAAAATCTTCTTGGATGCGTTACCAGTCTGCAAGACACAACAGGCAACGTTAACAAATCATATTTGCCACTAGCGATGAAGTTCTCCGAAACACAAGTGACATTATTCTTCAGTCAAAAGAAAAAGCCTGTTGAGTTCTGACATGACTTGAATTAGAGGAGAGAGAAAAATGATGTTTACACAGCTTGCCGTGGGCTCAGAATCTCATATAGGGGGGCTTAATAAGGCCTCGGGCTAGATGCCGAGTTGCAACACGTTAGACAAACTCCTCCTTTCTCTCGTCCACCTTAAATCCCAGCAGCAATCTAGCACGGCTCACAACAGCATCCGTGTTCCCTCATTAACATTTTCATCACTTTCTCAGTGGGTTCCAACCCGGGAAATGTTTCTCAGCACTTGCAACTGTTGTGTGGCGTCAAATATGGCCATGAGATAAAAGGCTTTAAGATTATTGACGCACAAGAGGAGGAAATCGGATTTCTAAATGCATCAAAAGGAGCCTCTAGGCTGCAGCAGCGATGGCGCTTTGATATGTTGACCTCAAAAATGTACCCTTTAAAAAAAAAAATACAGGTGGTAACAGAAGACGAAAAAATGAGGGGGGGAAAAGAAGGAGTCGGCATCTTTTGTGCACACAGCCAGCAGCCTTGCAAAGGAGGTGCACTCCCCTGAGAAGGGAACAGGACTAAACAGAAGGGTTCCCCGGTGAAAGGCAGGGGGGGAAACTTTAACCTTCACACGACAAGACACCGCTATTGGGCGGCCCTGTAGTCACCATGGCGACCAAGTGGAGGGCTTGGGGAAAGGCCCCGAGGTTGTGAGGAAGAGGGTGGAGGGGAAACGGAGAGAGGAGGAGGAGCAAGGCGAGGGGAGGAGGGATAGAGGAGGCGGTGGGGCGAGGAACAGGAGGAGAGGGAAGAGTAAAAAGGAAGCAGTGAGGAAACAAGGGGAGGAGGGGAGGACAAGGGAGGGAGGGGGGGGAGGTCTGTCAGCGTTTGATGTTAAGTCATTGAGACAGAAGCACAGCGGGGCTGAATGCTGCTCTACCTGCGCTGGGAACCCGCGGTGTCAGCGACAGCCTGGAGATGGAGAAGATGAAGGCGGGGAGATAAAAACAGGCGGACAGGAAGGTGAAATAGATTGAAGACTGAGGAGAATGACAGATGAATGTCAGAGCTGGAACAATCTTTGATCCTTGTGAACTAAACTAGAAGCACTGAAGATGGGTTTTTTCCCCTAAAACATAGTCAAAAAAAGCACACAGGTGTCTTTTGAGGACAGTCTTTGTGAGAGATAATTACTATCCCGATCTGGAGTCAGTCTTTGCCGCTCTGCTGTGTGTTTTTTGATGAGCAACAACAGACAGAGACAGACGGACAAAAGCAGGCAGACAGACAGACAGACAGACAGGACAGACAGCCCTGGAGTGACGGGCTCAATTCAAAGTAAATGAAAGCGCTGAGACAGACGACGCTTTGCCAAACGCTCTGCAATCACCGCTCAGAATCTAATCTCCCCAGCTGCAACGACAAAAGATTTTGTTCAAGGTTTCTCAATTAGGCAACTGAAGCCTGATAGTATGAACTTCATTTGACCACCAAAAAGCCAGGGGAAAGTGACAACGGACAGAGGACCGGACATAGTTTTTGCGACAGGACAGATTAGAGAGAAAGCCAGACTCCCCTCAGGGCCGGGGAGAGCCCTCCAGATGAAGTGAGAGAATGGAGGAAGAGGAGGGGGGGAGGCTTTAACACTAAATCGCTGGAACAGAGCAGGGAGAGTGCGAGGGAAAGGGGCAGACAGAGATGTTATGGGAGGAGAGACAAATGGAAAACGATAGATGTGAGCTCGATGATGTGGGAGAAACTCACAAGGGAGGAGGGGAGGCTCTGAGACTGGATACTAGGCAGACGCCTCTAAAGGGATGTTTCACCAGGCTGAGAGCGTGCGACGGGCTAAAAGCACGGCGGAGTGGACAGGTCCAGCTAATGTAGAACTGTCTACCAACGAATTGAGTCATTAAACCGGAATTACTGAGCAATACTGTGTTTAACACTAGTGATCCTAGAACAAAGGAGAATATGGAAATAAGGATGCAGTATTCTGCAACTGCAGAAACACTTCACTATTTAAAAAAAAAAAAAAAAAAAAAAAAAGGAAGAAGGGCGATAACGACTCAATAAGTCATTGATCATCTCAGGGTTGTTCATCAAAAAGAAATTGCTGACAGATTTAAGATCAATGACGACACTTCGTGCCACAGTTATACGAGATGGTGCGCCTGAAAAGCAATATAACAGCAGACTGCTTTTTATGTCAGGTAAGAAGTCTGAATTTAACCCTTCAGGATGTTCACTTACTCTCATATTATGAAGGCAATTCTGATTAATTAAGTAATTAATTATTGGATGGGTTTACGACATGTGGAGAGAACTGGCAGAGAGAACTATAATACAAAAAGGAAGCAGGAGAGGGAATGGGACTAAAGCACTGCACCTCTATGGTAACAATGTGGGTCACTGAAACATTAGAATACTGATAAGACACCGACCGATGAGTGCACTGACCTGTTATGACCCTCTGGGCCTCATACGGCTCCATGTAGCCGTTGTTCTCACAGGGAACAGGTCTGAGATCTGGCTCTGGCCTGTGGTCCACGCGAGCGTCGAACGGGTCAGAATAATCTGTGTCGCCTGCCAATGGAGCAGACGGCACCACCTAAAGGACAAAACACATGACTGATGAAGAGAAATGGGTTCGGTTACAGAGCATCGACGTGTCCTTGTCGGAAACAAAACGTCACCATTGACATTTACACAATAAATGCAAACCAATTTCCAATGTTGTTGTTTTGCAGACACAAAATTAAAATCACAGATTTCTGACTTTCAGCCAGTGTTTAAAAGCTGTTATTCAATCACACTTTTAAAACACTTGAATTAAAGCATCCGAGACAATAGCTCATCAAGACAAGAGATGGAGAGAGCAGCGCAACACTCTTCACAAAGCAATCACACCCTCACTGAACGGAGCGTTAACTAGGATTGGTTACAGACGAAATGCGTTTTGGTATCATCAAGACACTAATTTGCATCCTTCGTGTGCAACATCGCAAAACCATACCAAAACTATAGCAGCTATACAATGTAGTTCCCTCTTAAAACCCTTGAAGAAGGGACTACATCGCACGTTTGTTGTTTACATGCAATGCAGCCAGAAACCATCCTGTCTGAGGATCATGTGTTTTTTTTTGTCTGTGGGAAGAGAACACAGAGTGTACAGAGGGTGCTGGTTGCACAGGAGGAAAACAGTGATCAGCTGGCACAGTGACAGCTACACAGGCAGCCATATGGTCACAAACACACACATGTACATGTGCATATACTTATAAACACATACACATTTTGGCAAAGGGCTCTCTTCCCATCTCTTTCTCTCTGACAAAGGGAATCGCTGTCGCAAAAGGCTCGCTTCCTAAATTCCCACTAGACGCACACACGCCCTCACTAAATTACATTTTAATCCCATGTTGATTCTGTAACAGGTTATCTATCGATGCACAGGAATCTGCAATGTAAATCAGAGTGCGGTTGTTCCCACAGACCCTGGGAAATTAATGAGAGCAGGAGGAGAGCGGGGTAGAGGGGGGGGCTATCGACTGGAGTTAAGACTATTACTTCAATTCTCTTCAGGACTTTCGCACTTGTAGCACTTTCCACGAGCCGAGTCATGGATTTAACTGCAGCTATGAAAACCCTCAAATACTCCTTAACTTACTCAGCATATGAGAGCAGAATTAACTTGAGGACCATTTCCTTGTAAAACCTTTGCTTCCGCTCTAGTCGCGCCGTCTCAACATCCGTTTGCCTTTGTTCTTCGCAGTATCCGTGAATGTTCTCTACAGCACGACATGCACAGTACATAGCCGGAAAAGCACTGCAGTCCCGATGACATAAACAGCGCCACGGTATAAATCATACCGCCCCGTGGCCCTTGGCATATCACCGTACCCAGCACTGTAGAAGGCCCCTCACATGTGCTCATGCGGGGGTCTCTCTCAGCTTGGAAAACTAAACCCCATTTATTATTTATGAAAGGACATAAACTCAAGGGACTGTGACCCTCTCCGAATCAATGGTCCGCTCGAGCCATCAATAATTCTTTCTTCCATCTTGGGTAGCGAATTTATGTGGCGCTTGGGATGTAATGTGATTTATGTAAACAATGCATATTTGAGACACACATTACTAGTCACTTGCTTATGGAGTCTGATCGATAAAGCTGTCACGGTGATGGAAACGAGATGAGAAGTAGGGAGAGCATTGTTTTCTATCCTTCATCACTTATTTGCCTTCCCTTCATGCCTCCCTCTCACTTCCTCATAAAAAAAAAAAAAAACTGAATTTGTCATCACCCGCTTTTTGCTCGCTCGCTCGCTCGCACATGCGCACGCGCACACGCACACACACCAGCTGAGAATCAGAGGCTCTTACAGGCTCTTGTTGGTCCTCTAAAGAGACAGTACTGAGGAGGATCTTGGTGCGTCCCAGCTCCTGGGAGTCCACTTTGATCAGTCTGTGTTTGGGAGACTTCACGTCTACACTGGATGACTTCATGGGAGACCCATACACCGGTGTGGCAGGGTCAGAGGTCCCAGACTCGCCCCTGGACCTGTTTTCTGAGTCCTCGTAGGGATCCTCGAAGTCCAGGTCCCTCTGGAGCCGGTAGGCTTTGAGGATCTCGCTCTCCGTGTAGTCTGGTGTGGGCGGCTGCGGAGGCACCTTCCTGCTGCCAAAGCTCAGGTAGTCTTTCAGCCACTTGGCCATCGCAGCTCTGCTTCCAAACGTGCTGGTGCGTGGTGGAGGGGGAGCAGGAGGCTGCAGAGGGCAAACAGGGACATGGGGGTTATTGCTTGGCCTTATTTCTCATGATAGTGTGAGCTATGAATTTGATTTTTGCGGCATGTTTTTCTGATTGTTGCAAGACAATTGAAAGATAAAAAGAAAATCACCAAAAATAGATTTTTTGTAATTCCCAGGTCCTGATCCTTTCACAATATCTGTGACGGACAACTTTCCGCTGACAGCAGAGCCTCAAGTGTTTGTTTACATGCACTCATGTGCCAATAAACTACACCAACAGCTGGGCTTTACGCACTCCTTTTGTTTTAAGCAGGGAGCAATAACGTCTGGCATCTGGACTTTGCCCAAAGGCTGCGATTACAATTCACACCCCTGCAATAAAGTCCAACGTTGACATGCTGATAACAAAAAAAAAAAGACAAAAGACTTAAAGTAAATATTAAAGCAATGAGGAATTAAAGAAATCGTGTTTCAAATTTAAACATCGTATTAATTGCTTTAATTTTGTAATTCAACCAACATTAAAACATAACATGTTTAGTTTGGCAGAGACGTTTTTGGAGGGAGCTATAACCAGTTTTTAACTTTCAATCTTAATAGTCACAAAAACACTGGATTTAATTACTAGAGAGCGCTGCGCTGTGAACGCGCACTCACTTACCAAACCTATTCAGTCCTTCAGCCACTTTATTCCGCGTTTCTTCATGTCGAGCACAATAAAAGCGGCACAGAAAAGTGACAAATCCTTCCACTGCTCGAGTTTTTTTTTTTTTTTACTCCACAAGAAAGGGAACAAAAAAAACGGCAGCTTTTCTAGTACAAAAACAAAAAGCACTGAAACCCGCCGTAGTTCCTCCAACGACTGACGGCAAACGTGCGAGTGAAGCGAGCGACTACAGCTTCGAGAGCAACTCAGCCGAGCGGTTAAAGGGGAGGCGCTTCAGTCCCAGTGGAATATCCTCCTATTCCCTTTCGCAGTCAGCCGACCGTTCATTCATTGAAATATCTGCAACAAGAGATGCATCCTCTTTCAAAACCACTATAACTGCTGCAAGCGGGGGAAGAAGTGAAGAAACCGGGGAGGTAAAAAAAAACAAAAAAAACAGAAATCAGCTCGCACGAAATGTGCATTATTGATTCGCATGACATCACTGGAGAATGTTCCTGTTTTAGCTTCACTGAAGGTTTTTCAAAAGGATTTTTTGCAGTTTCCCCCCCCAAAAAAAAAGAAAAAAAAAAAAAAAAAAAAAAGCTGAAGCCTGAAGGGGGAACAAAACTGTTATCTGCTTCCTTTATAAAAGTTTTGGTGGAGTAAGGAAATCTCATCATCATCATCATCTACAGCGGAGTTTAGACAGATGTGTAGACACAAAAACACGAGTTATTACAAAAACAAGAGGACAATAGCACTGAGGCCTGACCACTCTGATTGAAAACTAATGCATTTGGGGTTGAGTGTGTGTTTCATTCGTTTTGTTATCATCCTGTCTTGAGTGCGTGTTCATCCTCCCACAGATGTCCCATTAACCGTGTAGTCCAGGCTGGTAAATTGGATTGTGTGCTACAGTGGGTAGGGCCATCCAAGTCTGTTAAAAGGCCGTAAATGCCTCCTTCTTTATGACACTCATGAGCTCACTTTCTCCCAGGGGCGGGGAGATGGGATGAGGTCATTGTGCTACAATCCACTCCTACCACAAACATCAACATTATCCCATCAAGACCTTCACATCGTCCTCCTCCTGCCTGCTCCAGTGTTCACCAAGCGCTGACTTCAGACCCAAAGGGGGGGGGGGTGGGGGGGGTCACAGGGCTGCAAACATCTCGCAGGTCCCTGCAGTCCAATTTAAACCATTTATAGCAGTGAAGTTGTAAACTTGAAGACACGATCAATTTCATGACATCAGCCGACAGAAAAGGCATGTCAAAGTTCTCCAGGGTAGAAAGCCCCTCCGGACCCCTCGACCCCTTTAATGTCTCCTTCTTACTGCACTAAAAAGATGCTTTTTTTAAAAACATCAAAAGAGGAAGAGTGTGGCAAAACAAAATCTTGTGGGAACAAGATTCATACCGAGAGTCATTAACATGTGGGAACAAGATCAATAAGATGTGTTACAAGTTTTATCTTCTGGGAATGATACAGATCTTGTTGGCACAACATGGGACCTTGAGACAAGATCCATCTTCCCACAGGTGAAGATCTTTTTCTTCAGATGTCAAAGAAATACCATTTTCTGATTCTTCTTCTGCCCTTTCTTTGCATTTTATCCCTTGTCATGAATGTACCAGTAATCTTTCTCCTCTTCCCCCTCCCCACGGCTACACATTCCTGTTTTTCATCCGCACAATCCCTCCTCTTAACCCAGTAACATATTGTTTCCATCCTGGCTATATGGTGAGAGACAGAACTGTACGGAAAACAAACGATTGTTAACTGAGCAAGAGATGCAAAAATCAGAGGCAGAGAGAGAGAGAGAGAGAGAGAGAGAGAGGCAGAGAAAGACAGAGCCAGAGACAGAGAGACAGGCAAGCTGTCAGACTCAGCGAGAGGAAGACACATGGAGAGCACAGGGGAGAGAGGAAAACAGAAATGGAAAAATCAGGATCTCTCCCACAGTGAGAGATCATCACAAACAGGCAGACAGACAGGTATTCAGTCGTTGTGTTTTCCTTTCAAAGTAAACACAGTTTCATAGGAGCCAAAAGTGTAATTGAATCAAACAGAAACAACAAGGCGCAGTGGAATATTTCAGATAATTAATAAGACTCCCTCATTATAAAGGGCTAAATATGGATGTGACATTTTCTCCAAACTTTTAATAAGTTGTTGCTTTTTTTTTTTTGAACAGCTTCATTAATTACACAATCATGCCGTAGAGCACGAGCGGCCGTAGACATTCATGTACAGCCTGACACACATCGATAAAAGTTATCCTTTATTGAACTCATGCATTTAATTTAGGGTTGGAAAAGAGGCTTCACAGTTGAAAGACTCTTCTGTAGTTTGTCCTCTGCTGTGCATTTACTGCCCTCCTTTGGTGGCTGGTGTGTATTACATGTATCGTTTCTATTTTTTGATAACAACATGCAAGTCTAATTTTACTTGATAGTTTGGGAAAGTAATACAAAAAAAATAAAAGTTTGGTTAAGTAAATGAGGTAAAGATGGCCTAACTTAATTCGTATCCAATTACGACCAAGAACAGGGCAACATGGATGAAAGGAGTTAACGCCAGGACTTCAGTAAAATATCTATTTATTAAAGTATTTAAGCCCACTAGCACCCAAACTCGTAGAGTAATATTTAGTTAAGCCCTGCATCGAAGTATTGTATACATTTTTTCACTCACCTCGCTCTTTATTACAGTACAAAGGTAGTTGCTTCCGGGTTCAGCTCCTCCAGCGTTGCCATTGGTTACATTCACTATACCATTACAATGATTGGTTGAAAATGTCCAAAATAATGAACTTTCTCATAAACCCACCCCCCTCCGTTAAAGCGTGAGCTCGAGCTACCGACACAATGACAAAGTTGGACAAGACGGAATGCTTCTCTACCATTAACTCTGGCCTGTTAAACCCAAAATAACAGCACTGCACTTTACTACCACGTTGTGCAAGATGTCCCGCACGCGACAGTACATATCATCCATCATCGCCAATCAAACGCTGATCCGGTGTTTTGCGCAATGCTGATTGGTTGATTTACGATGGGGGCGGGTGCATTGCTGCTGTCCGCCAGGGAGCAGTGACGATGGTGTGTTGCTGCGCACCGCTGATGGTACAGAAGGGAAACTCACCTGGAGCTGGACTGTCCTCCACAGGTTTTGCAGGTCAGTTTATACATGTGTGTTGACAACATTATTACCTGTATTATAATATTATATTTAACTGGTTTATAATAGTCTGGCGTTGGCACATTCCTTAAGTATTCCTAAAATGTTGGAGCACCATGATGTTGCAATGTTGCTGGGACAATTGTTGATGACTTAGTGATGGGTAAATAAATTCAAGCCACTTTAAGACACAGCCTGAAGCTGTTGCTTACAATAACACTCAAGTTTGTGTCTTTGCCTTGTTCATTGCAGTGTTAGTGTCCAGACGGAGGCCATCAAACCATTATGAAGAGTCTGAAGGCAAAGTTTAAAAAGACTGAGGTAAGAGCCATCTGTTGGTGCCATGTGGAGCGTTACAGTTGGATGTATTTAAAAGTAGTACACCTGTGTGCTACAAGCTATTTAGAGATATAAGCCACAACAAGCTGTGTTTTAACCTAATATTACAGCGTTCACCTGCTCCTAGTCATCTATATAGATCCCAGGTTGCTCCTTATGTGTGTATGTGTGTGTGTGAGTGAATGGGGGGACCCTGGGATTCAGTGTCACTGAGCAGCAGCAGGACAGCAGGGCTGTCTCCAGACTGCTGCGATAACCAGAGATCTCAGGTAGCCTTTAATTATTCACACATGTGCGTGCACACACACACACACACACACAAAGGAACCCCACTTTCCTGCTGTCATCCCGGTGCTACTCTGAAGGGTTTTGTAATGTGCGATTTAACCTTGTTCCCTAATGTACTTCATTTTTAGGATTCTATTATTTTGCCTGCTCCATGTAGCGAGCTGCTTGTTGCAGGCCGACACACTGGGGTCAGTGACCTTGCAGCGCTGGTGGAGGCAGAGAAACTAGCAACCGCTGGCTCTACAGTGTGGTCTGAGCATTTGGATCCTGGTGATGCTTTTAGCACCATTACAGCCTGTTAGTGTCCATCGCCTTCTGGTGAAACTCTACCTCCCTGTTTGCGTTAGTAATTACCACTACAACAGTGACAAGGAGGATCCTTTTGGATGAGTGGTTTCACTTAGTAGCCATTGAAGTTAAGAATACATCTCCCAGGGTTTTCCACACAAATAAACCTCCCCGTATAGCCTGAGAGACGCATACGCTCCATAAGCTAAGAGACTAGAGATTTGAGCTTGTTTGTCTGCCTCATGATGTCCCCTCCGCCACGTAAATGACCGTCCAAGCTTGCAGAAGCGAGCCAGCTTGTTTCTCCTCTTTTTGCTGAGTCCTCGCATCACACAGGCCCTGCTCTGTAACTGCAGATAAACAGATCTACAGTATGACGCTGCCAGCGGAGGGGGGGGGGTACCGTCCAGGACCTGACACAAAAAAAAAACTAATTGGAGAGAAGGATGACGTTTGCTACAGAGAAGTAGGCTGCAGAGAAATTAATAGGTTAGAGAAAGGAGGACAGTGAGGAAAGGAAGGAGGTGGCAGTGTGTGAGGTGCAGTGGACAGACCGGCTATGTCCCTGCTAGCAGCTGAGGCAGGATGATGGGATAGCGTTTTGGATGTGGACAGGGAGCAGCATATAGCAGGGATACTGTGTGTGTGTGTGTGTGTGTCAGAGTTTTTTTGTGTGGCGAGCTATTTGATTTCAATGGAGGTGTGATTTTGAGGATAGCATAAATTCTCCGGTATGCAGATCTATACTATGACGCTGTTGTGACCTCTGAAGGGTATCTAGTAGAAAGTTATGGGTGGCAGAGTTCTCTGCAGTATCGCATGTAACTGTGTTATGCAGCGAGGCGGCAGTGTGTATTGTCAGGCAGGACACACAGCGGCGGCTTGGTACTCTGTGGCTGTATTTAGCTGTATTTAGCTGTGTGTGTGTGTGTGCCCTACTAAGCGGTATGGATCCTCAGCAGCCTGTTTTTAGCCTGATGAAGCGGTTCTGTCCTTGTTTCAGCCTGCTGCCGCTGCCAGTAGGTATCTTCTCTCTATCCACAAATCACAGGGATAGGAAAGGAAATATCCCTCTATTTTATAATATTTCTGTCTTTAAAGTAGCGTGTTGTTACTTATAAAACTTGTATCTCTGGGCACCATTCTAACATCTAATCATCTATTGTTTTCTTTGTTATGAGATATGCTGTGTGTGGTATCAGTTTCCGTTGGGGCGGTTCAAGGTGGTGACCCGTTCTCTGACTTGGTCCCCCTCAGAGTCAGGACTGGAGTAAGAGTGATGAGAGGCTCCTGCAGGCTGTGGAGCAGAATGAGCCCGACAAAGCCTCCGCTCTCATCGTCAAAAAAGGCCTCTGTCCCACCAAACTGGATGCCGAGGGCAAATCAGCGTAAGTTGGGCACCTAGTATTTACCTTTTTATTTATTAGAAGTAAATGCCTTACGTTTGTATTCCTTTCAGTTACACTCATTAACGTCGTGGTTGTTTTTAATAACCGCTGTTGTTGCTCCCGGCCATGTGAAACACATCATTTATTGTGCAGCAGCAAAGTAGTTTCCCATGGAAATGCCTAAACGGGGAAGATTTATTTACTAAAATTAAAGTGATGAGTGGAATCAGCAGTTGGAGCTGAACAATTCTCGGAATTTTATATGGAAACCGATTCTCACATCTCAACTCTCGTGACATGTATATTGTCCTTGGTCCTTCCGGCAGGTTCCACGTCTGTGCATCCCGGGGCCGGCTGGACTGTCTGGAGGTCATCATCTCTCACGGAGCAGACGTCAACGTCACTGATGGCGCTGGTAGGGAATTATCAAATACAGGTTTTATCTCATGAATTGTCATGAATTGTTTATAAATGTCTGTTTCATAACCGGTTGCAGGCTTCAGCGCGCTTCACCTCGCTGCCAAAAACGGCCAATCAGAGTGTTTGAAAAGACTCTTACAGGTAAAACACAGAAGGACAGTATTTTCAGGTTAACCAACGAATACTGTAAAATATTAATGGAATAATGTAAGCTCGAATTTTAAGACACCACTAATTACAGATGGTTTATCTTTTTTTTTTTTGTTTTTTACCCGACAGGAGAGATTAGCAGTAGACTGCATCGACACCTTTGGGAGGACACCGCTTCATCATGCAGGTCCCAGTTAATGAATTATGACACCAGTTTTGATACTAAAGAGTAACTTTGCATACAACAAATACATCTCATAGATCCCATTCGACATGTTTTAAGTATTAAAAGTAAACAGGTGTAAAGGAACACTGAAGCTAGACTTGACAAAAATATTTTATCTAACACCCAACTGAACAGAGAGGTGCTTAGAGATTTAAACTGCGTTTCTCAAAGGCCGCTACATGTTGCTGTATGTAAACACCTGATATTGACTGTAATTGTGATCATTTCCTGCAGCGGTCAGTGGCTGCTTGTCCTGCTGTGAGACCCTGTGGGATTTTAAAGCTGATCTGGATATCCAGGATGGGGTATGTTGAAGGGTTTGAATAGTTTGAATAAAGTTTGGGCTGCGTTTTCTGTTTTGAATTGTTATGTGAGATGAATAAATAAATGAATCAGTATTAACTTTTTATTTACCTACTTTATTTTCTCTTATGTAGTACTTTAGACATCATTATCAAACATGTAAAATGTGTTGTTGATGCATGATGCTTGAATAATCGTGTGTATCTCTCTCTGTCAGGACGGGGCCACCCCTCTGATCTTAGCGGCTCAGATGAGCAGAGTGGAGCTGTGTGTCTTTCTGTTGGGTCGAGGTGCCAATGCAAACATGCAAGACAACCAGGGAAGGTACTGGACTGTTAATAATACTCTGGGGGTTTGATGAGGCAAGCGGGACGGCTGGATCCGGATTGCTCTCTTGTAGCTGCTGCTGAAGCCTTGACAGATGGAATGACGGCCTGCTGAGGCCGACTGCGGCATTGAAACAGCCTTCTTAGCTGTGCTAGAACCAAATAAACCTCTGCAGGATTATTCTCACAGCAGTGGGGTTGTCTGGCTCAGGGTACAGGAAGGATTCCCATTGAAGTCTCCAGAGCTTTGGGTAGATTTGGAAGGATGCAGGTCAAGACTTCCAGCAGGGACCAAGAGCTTTCAGTTTAGCTTTGGATATCTGCTTGCAGAGGATTATTAGAGACATTTGTTCAGGCCACATCATTGTATCTAATGGAAATAATTCCAATGCCTTTTCCTGCAATTCATCCTGAATCACAATCTGATCGGTATCTTTGGAATCCGTGACCAAATTGAAAATAGAGTTCTGTGGGTTTAAGCGTTACTAATGACACACAGGCTGATGATTTATCAGTCTGAAATGGATGTATGCAATTCGACTGCATTGTTAGTTTCCTCAGTGAGGCTGTTTTCCTGTTGAACTATGATGTTTCGTTTGGAATCGCAGGTCTGCATTGATGCTGGCGTGTGAGAGCGACGCCGTTGAGACCGTATCAGCTCTGCTGAGAGGCGGGGCCGACACGCAGCTGGTTGACGCCCTTGGACACAAAGCTACCGACTACAGTGTAACAACGGGCAACCACCGCATCATGCAAATATTGCAGGACGGAGCACCTCCAGGTACAGTATGAGGCACCTGGAGAGATAGACGTGATTGAAGATCCCACAAGGCTCCTTTGACAGTTCACACTCTTTATAATCATATTATCATAAATGTAAATGAAACAGCTTATGACAGCATTTCTTTGAAAATGTAAAGTGGCAGCATGATGTGAAACACGTGGCAGCAACATCTAACAGATCCTCAGATCCAGTTTGTGGCTTCTGTCTGTGGCTGTGCTGCTCTGGATCCTGGCTGCGACTCTGCTCCTCCAGGGAAACTGTAATAGTAAGAAGTGGATCAGGAGGACAGCCGGGTGTGATTGTGAAGTGGGGTTTGAAAAAAAGAGAGAGAGAGAGAGAGAGAGAGAGAGAGAGAGAGAGAGAGAGAGACAAGGCTTTTTCCACTTTTATCTCCCAACAAAGACATTGCTGCTATATGGAAAACAGATGTGCGGCTGGTTTGAAAGGGAGAACAAGGAGAGAATTTGGTGTGCATATGATGCCTGACCACATTAGTTTTATTCTATAATTGGAGATTTTAGTTTAAAAAAAACTACAAGACACATGGATGATACTAATACAAACTACATGTTAGAAAAGAGACGTAATTTAAAAGGAAGTGAGAGTATATTACTTGCGTATGTGCACGTACCTCTAGCTGTTTGCTGATCTCATTGCTTTTGAGGTTAAAGTGTCTTGCTGTGTGTTTTCTTTCCCTCTGCGTACGAAGCTCCTGAGGGTGCAGGCGAAGAGGTAATGTTGCATAGCTGCGTGTTGGATCACTCCCTCCATCAAATGAGATCATGGCCCACTTGGGCCGTTCAGATTGTGTATGTTTTTCCAATATGAGGTCATTATTTTTGTGGGCTGCTTTCTTTTTGTTTTGTCCTTCGCTCCTCTTTGTTGCTAACCCTTTGTCTTAACTTGGTTTATGTTGAGTTTGACCTCGGCTTGTCTGTGATCAACCTCCCACCCCCACGCAGCCCCCCCAAGTCCCCTCAGGCAACTCTTCAATGCAAGGGGGCACTACACCCCGCAAACGGAAAGCTCCTCCACCGCCCCGCTCTCCTCTCCAGGTACATCAGTTTTCACCCTTATAAAAGAAACAGTGTCTACCACTACTACTATGTAAGAGCAAATAAGTGTCCATAATAGATGCTAATCCCATTCGTAATATCTCTGTAGTACAATATTGCGTCTCGAGAGATTAACTAAAGAGTATTATGTCTTTGATGACTGACAAAGATTCATTCTATTCTGTTTCCCATCACAAAGATCCAGGGTTTGCCACCCTCTCCAAAGCCGCGGAGTCCTGCTCCGTCTGCCCAGTCCCCTGAGCCCCAATCTCTTTCTCCATCTCCCCAGCCTACAGAAACACAGCAATCAGCCCAGGTTAGCGCTGTAAATCTTGATTTTTCATGTAACATGAAATGCAGACTTTATCAGGTGCTCACATTTCTTGTGGTTGTCTGTGTAAAGGCAGAGGATGAAGAGGTGTTTGAGGAGATTCGCCGACTGCGTTTGGAGAGAGGCCGTCTGCTCCAGAAGATCAAAGCCTTTGAGCTGCAGCAACAGAGCGCCCTCTCTGCCTTGGAGGAGGTACTACACACATCCAGCAGCAACACCTGTATCAGAGAAAACAGCGCATTTGTGAAGACTTAGGGTTGCTTGTTATAACCACCATTTTTCTTACATGTGCACTCTAGTTGTCCCAACTAAAGCAGCATCTAAAGGAGACACAGGCAGAGAGAGACAAGCTGCTTGATGAGCTGAAGGGAGGCCATGGTATTGGGGCCAGTGACTCTGAGGACATGGATGAAATGTTTGACTTCCCAGGTATGTATTTACATGTGCTTCCCATAGCCTGATAGAGAGCATGCATGTACTTCCCTGCTATTCCACATGGGCATTCCCATGTGTATCCCATCAGGAAGTACACGGATTGATTATTGTTGTCGGTTCTCTTTAACTTTGCCTCTAGAGAAGCTGCTCTCCAAGCGCTCCAGAGCCTCCCCTGCTCAGGATGAGGCCACTTCTCAAGGAGACGCAGACTCGGCCAACCCCTCCCCTGTCCCCGGAGACCCGGGGACTGTTGCCGAGCTGCGTAAACAAATAGAGGAACTTGCCTCACAAAACTCTGAACTAGCTCTCAAAGTGCAGGTGAGGTCAGAGAGTACAAATGCACAAAAACACGCCTAACGAATGACCGCACTTACAACCAATCAGGCATATACAACGAAAAAAATACTCATTCAACTGGCATGCCCCGCTTAGAAGCACACAAACATAACCTCCCTTTTATTTCTCTCTCTCTGACACACATGCACATATCAAGATAATACCACAAAAATGTAAAACTAAACAAAACGAAAAGAAAAAAACGATTGAAATAATCAGACACATGATAAGATTTTTCTTTTGCTAACGTTGTGATCTGCACACACACACACACACACACACACAGTCCAAGGGCATCTTTAAAAAAGAAACATTGATAGTGAAGTGATTATTAAGTGCTTCCCCCTCATGCTGGCTCAGGAGTGGCTGAATGTCCCTGACTCAAACATTAGTCATTACCACTTTCACTTCATGATGCCACACTGTGGTACACTAATGCAGTGAGGCAGTTGTGTCCATACAGGTATAAATAGAAGAGAACAGCATCAGATACAGACACGGGGGCCAGTTTGTAGACATACTTTACTAACTGGGTCATGCTGGTTGAAGAAAAGAAGTTAGTATACAGAAGTATTCTGTTCTCGTGTGGTTTATTCACCACTGTATGAGTATAGAAGCGATCTAGGAGATATGAGATTAAACTAGAACCAAAACCTCCTGCTGGGATTTAAATGGTGGAGGGATTCCATAACTCGTGTTTAATTAAGTTAATTAAAGAGCAGTTCTACCAGTTTTACACATAAAGGTCAGTTTACTAGTCATGGAGAGTCCTTTTTAGCCTGTAAAAACAGTTGTACACTGTCTTCTGTGGCTCTGGAGGAGCTTTGTCAAGAGTGAGAAAATAACTTGGAAATGATGTAACCAGGGTTATGTCTGCATGGGCTTCAATTTATAAATGATTTATGCATTTATGACAGAAACCCATATGTATAATTAATAGGATTTAAATTCTGCTGCTGCATTGATTGTTGAATTTTTTTTCAATCTCAAGAACAATCAAGTACAAGTACTCCAGTAAATCACTGGAGTACTCTTTTAGGTAACGAGTACCTGCAGTTGATGGTGCTCACCTACTTACAAGCCTAGCATTAAAGGTTTTACTAAAATGTGAAGTGTACTCTAAGGGCACTACATGTAAATGATGCATTTTTAGCTAACAGTACATACTGTATCTCCATATTGACTGATAAACAGTTACTGAATGGTGATAACTTCCATACGTTACTGTAATCTCCTCCGTGTTGTGCACAGATGCTGGAGATGTTTGAGAAGGACGACACAGACATGCAGAGCTCCAGCTCGGACTTTGTCCCCATAGTCCAGTACGAGATCCTGAGGAAGGAGTTTGAAGTCCTTCAGGAGCGCCTCTCTCAGGCCCAGGCTTCAGACGAGGCCTCCAGCGTGGCAGAGGACTGGTATGACTGATTAATTCATACGAACTCAAGTGGCCATCACAGAACACATTCACTGGAGCTCTACGGAATCAGATCAAGACTTTTATTCTGAGATGTGCTCACTTCATTTCTAAAGTCTCAACAGTATCTTTTGAGGGTCTCCATCAGGGCCATTTTTTTAAAAGTGCTGAGCATTTACATTTTTCCTGCAGTTTGGACTGTTCATCAGACAAATCAAGCGGCGTCACCGTCTGCTTTGTAAAATTGCAATTGCGATTTCTCATAAACGATTAATCCTGCATATTATCTACATGTTGATCAGGACTGGAAATAACCCCTAGCATGGGTTTATGGTGTGATGTTAGACATGTTTTTATTGTTTGAGTTAGTGCAGGAACGATTACCAATCTTTGTCTTGTTCTGCAGTGGTGATGAGAAGTCTCAGGAAGGAGGTGCAGATGCAGAGAGTGTGGAGGCTCTTAAGAAGAAGCTGCGAGGTCTAAAGGAGCAGTTGGCCTCCTCCCAGTCTGAGCTGGAGGAGTTGAAAGAGCAGATGCGCCTCGGGGTGCTCTCTGTGGAGTGTGGTGAAGGGGACACTGCCGCAGCAGGTGCTGGGGCCGCAGAGGAGGGTCCGAACCAGGAGGCACAGCAGCTGAGAGCGAGGGTGACGGAGCTAGAGGAGGAGCTAGCGAAGAGACTGGCCGAAGAGGGAGGTCAGAGGAGCCGCGACAGTGACACAATCAAACAGCTGACAGAGAAAGTAGAGGAACTCCGTGCTGCTCTGTCCCAGAGAAAGTCCGCGAAAGAAGAAGGGGAGAAAGACGGCGAGAGCAAAAAGACAGTGAAGGGCCTCCGTGACAAAGTTGCTGAGTTGGAGGCAGCCCTGGCAGAGGGCAGAACATCGGGGAAAGATGGAGGAGCAGCAGGAGATGGAGATCAGATCCGTCGTCTCCAGGAGCGTTTGGGAGAGCTAGAGGGCGAGCTGAGGAAGTCTGTGCCCCGCTCCGAGTTGGAGGAGGTGCAGGTGACTCTGGGGATTCAGTGTGAGCAGCTGGCCAGGGAGAGGTCGGACGTGGCCAGAAGGCTCAACAATGCACTCGTGGATCTGGAGAGACTCAGGCCTCCTCCACGCGGAGATGACGAAGAGGAGGAAGAAGAGGAGGAGCATTCAGAGAGCTCAGAGCCCTCGGGCATATCAGGTGTGCGCTGTTGTTTTTTTCTACTTTAAGCATCCAAGTAAAATGCAAGATTATTGACTTTTCTTTCCGTTTTGTGAACGATCATGCCTCTGTCCAATCAGAGCACTCCAGACGCACCATGGCAGCAGTGAGAGAAGAACTGGAGGTTGCCAGGCAGGAAGCAGCCCAGGCTCTGGACTGCCTGTGTGCTGAGCGGGAGAACCGGGCACAGGACACCCTGCAGCTGAAAGACGCAGTGCCACTCTCAAAACATAGGGAGGCGCTGTCTAGGGTATCAGAGCAGCTAGCTCAGACTCTGCAAGAGCTCCAAGAGGAGAAGACCCTTCGTAGTCAGGCTGAGGAGCAAGCTGCCGGACTAGAGGCCAAACTGCAAGCCATGCAGGATGCCGTACCCAAAGAGGAGCATGAGAAAGTCAAGGTCAGCAGGAATCAAAACAAATCTGATGATGACACTGATCTAGAGTTGCAGTTCAGTCAAAAGGATTTAGAAATAGGGAGGATATGCAGGCGTACAGGCTTGGACGAAGGTAGGCCTGAACAATTAATCAAAAATGTATCAAAATCACAATATTGTGCTGAGGGAGCACTGCAATTTTCAAATTACCGGAGGCACAATATTTATTAAAGGCAACATGTGTCAAAATAAAATGTTAAAGCTACTACAAGGAACTTTCAATTTCTGTTGATTTTGGCTGTCCTTGTGGACAAAAGTGTTTCCGAGCACCAGTGTGAGACTGTTTCACAACCAGTTAAAAGTCACAGTCACAGTTTTCACAAAATAAGTCCTTCACTGTTTAGAATGAGGTTTTTCAAAGGGACACACAAGTTAAAGCATCTTATTTGTTCGTAGCAGCTGCTTTTAGCTGTTTCCATTGCGTTGTCTGATTAACAAGGGGGTACAACATTAGCTTATGATCATTACTTAGTGTGTTTTTTTTTACTGTTAGCTGGTAGAACTAGAAGGAATTATAATCCAATGGGTTGGTACACATATTTAACTTAAGATATTAGAGTATTTTGCTCTGGCTTTCTAAGTATGTTACTGGTCAAACTGTACATTAGAATTAATCAGGTAATCCTTGCGCTTTCTGTCTTTTAGGCAGAGCTCCAGCACTCCCTACAGGCCGGTGAGAGCAGTGCAGCAGCAGCCCAGGAGGCTCTTCTCGAGAAGGAGATGGAGCTGAGGGAGCTGAAGTCCCAGAAGGCTGCAGAACAGGGTCTGATCTCCAAGGAGGACCACGAAGCCCTGCGGCTCTCTCTGCAGGCTGAGATCAACGCCGCCGCAGCTCGTTTCAACGTTCTCACTCGCAAACACGAGAAGACCTGCACTGAGGTGTGTGTGTGTGTGTGTGTGTGTGTGTGTGTGTGTGTGTGTGTGTGTGTGTGTTATTGAGTCTGCCTTGTCCAATCCCTTCAAATGCCATCTAAAGCCACATCCGATGTTATTGTGCCTGCCACAAAGTAATCTGTGTTCCATGAAGGCCTTTTTCCTGCCTCTACATTATTCATATGTGTATTATTTTCTCTATTCAGTACGTCCCTCTGTTTCATTGATCCCTCTGTATATGTGCCTACTGATGCAATGAAGTACTGTTGTATGTGCACTATAGGCTGCTAATGACACTTCAAAAGTCATTTCCATAAAAACTCTCACTTTGTAAACTGGGTAATTGCCTCTCCGCCTCAAGTTGGCAAACACAGAGGTTAATAAGGGGCCACATCTTCACATGGAGAAAGACATTAAATTAGCTTTTATGCTCTTCACAAATTGAGTCCTGCTAAAAGTAGAAGGGATTCAATAGCAAAAACACAGGCTGTTTGTAATAAAATCTAAGAGTAAGATTTTGTGTTGGCGGGTGCTCACACACATAGTAAGTACATTTATGCTGATAATGGAGGCAGTATCATCACAAAGTCACATTTCCCTGAGATAAAGCAAGAAAAGCAAATACGTATATATTTACTGTAGCTTGGTTTATTGTATTTATGTGCACTGTAGCGTGGGTGTGCGAAGATCAAAGAGAGAGCCGTTACAATGGGAAACAGGAATTTCCTTTGAGCAAAAATTCAGTGGTTTGGGGGAATAATGATGTTGAAGAAAAATATTTTACATTTGACTCAAGATGAAATCAGGAAGAAGAGGGTGTGTTCACCCTCTAAATCAGGAAGCAAGACAAGGTATAGCATGAGATGTTACTATGGAAATGACCAAACCAAACAGCAAAGTAGTAGTGGGGAAGGTTTTCTACCACCGACACAGGTAAACACATCAAATATAAGTCCATTTCCTGGAGTATCTGTCTGTATGAACGGTATTAATTACGGCAGCAACTGTAATTCCCCTTTCAATACCAAACTCCAGTGCTCCTGGATCAGCCTCCACTTCTGCAAAAGCAGAAAGCATCAGAATTTTTAGACGTGATCAAACGGACTGCCTTGCTGAAGTGACAAGGTGCCACTGGTGGTTTTACCGGTCTAGGTGTTCCAGGTGCAGAGGGAGGCTCTGTTTAACAAGAGTGAGCGACAGGTCGCGGAGTCCCAGCTGGCCACGGTGCAGCAGCAGCTAGCCGAACTACAGGCCCAATCCAGCCACATCCAGGAGCTCCACAAGGGCATCCAGGAGTCCCAGGGTCTGGTCAAAGAGAGGGACCGCAAGGTGAGAGTTCAGATGGCCAAACAACTGCTGTTAAAGCACCTATGAAGTGGCTCAAACTCATGCCCTCTGTCTTTGTGCAGATAACAGAGCTGTCCAAGGAGATGTTTCATTTAAAGGAGGCCCTGGGAGCTCTGTCACCTCCTCTGGGCATCACCACCTCCTCCTCATCTACCCATCATGGCAACCCCGGGCAGCAAGTGGCACTGCAGAACAGGATCGCCATACTCACCCAGCAGCTCCAGGTGAGGAGAGCACTGACACTAGGGATGTGTGAAGTGAAGACAAAAACAGGATTTCCAAGACTTCTTTTCTCACTTCTTCAGACCATATCGACCATCATCTATAAAAACAACAAAACAGACATGACGGTTACATTTTCTGTGACCTTTTTGCAGGATTGGGAGAGAAAGCACAAACAGGTGGTGACTGTGTATCGTACGCATTTACTGGCAGCTGTACAGGTGAGTTGAATGCACACATCCGCGCCAGAGCACAAACTAAGACTGAACCCTGTGTTATGAGATGGAAAAAGGTTTCCACGTGTGTATGCGTGGATCTCATGATGGATGGATCAGTGAAATGTTCTACATGCAACTGGCTGGACAGACGCTCAGTGAACGGCACTGACCGCTGGATTTGAGTTTGTCCCCCTTTGTGGCGCAGACCATTAAGAGTGATCCATCCACCATCTCTGCTTACCAGATAAAAGTGGATGAAATTTCAGAAGAGGTGCAGGCAAAAAGGACTCGACTCATTCTCTCGTTCTATCAGTTTAATCATATATTCCACAACTACGGTGCACACAATAGCCATTTCTTTTGTCATGTTGGTTGTAATGAGAGATTGCTCAGGTGTCGTTGACCTGAAAGAGAACTGTTGGCTTCTTATTTATGCTTCTAGCAGGTTAGGGATGCATGGGTAGGCTGGCCCGTGTGCTTAATCTCTCTTCCTGGTGCATCAGGCATTGAGATTGAATGACCATATTATTCATATTTGTTTTGCTCAACACATTTAAAGGTGTCAGGTTCCCGAGTGTACAGACTGAGCACATTACTTCTCTCCTGGGTTTGTGTTTTCACACTTTGAAAGAGGCCTATAGCGTTACAGTCAATCCGTGCAATCTGATCGTAAGAACAGTATAATCAGCAAAAGCCTCTACGTCCTAGTCAGCCTGATTGGTGGCTTGATGACTGCTTGCCATAGTGGGATGGCATCTCTTTTCAGTGGTAGTGTTAGCCCCCCCACTTTCCATCTCTTCATGCACAGTTTTTTTTTGGTTTATGGCCAGCTTGAAGGCAGTCTTTCCTTAGCCGATCCTGCAAATTTCAGTTTGCTGCTCTGCAAGGATGAGTGGGTAAACCTAAAGAGCCCGTTACGGGGGCTCTGCCTGTGCTCATAGAACAAAAACTAAAAGCAATGTGGAATACAATGTAGAAACTTCATTTTCTTACACTGGTGTGTGTTGCCCAGCAGGGCTGTATGGATGAAGAGGTGCAGGGTCTGCTTCTCCAAATCCTGAGGATGTCACAGCCAGGACACTGAACCTCATAACGCCCGCAGGTTTCTCTCCACCTCCAGTCCCTTGACTGGTCAGCATGTAGCAGCTCCAGCTCAGCAACCTGTGGGACCAGCATCACAGAAACCTCGTCCAGGAAGCCAAATACAACTAATCTGTGTTCAGACATAGCTGCATGTGTACAATAAGTAACTTAAACAACAGTCGCAAGGCTTGACTGATGAGCAAACAGTGAAAAACCTTACTGCAGAGTGCCTTCACGGCTGGATAAGTTAAATGACAGCAGCCTATAAATCAGGGGTGTGTGGTAGCAGAAAGTGAATGTGAACAGAGAGTGTAGAATGTAGAAGATGTGCATTGATTGTGTGAAAAGCATTTTGATTTTATACAATATTATTATAATAAAAAAAAGAAAAACAAACTGCTACGCTGTTGATCATCTTCTTTGTACCTCGCTTCATGCACACATACTGTAGATCGAACAAACAATAGGTTTCCAAAGCAACAGCTTCTACGCTGTCCCTTGCATCTATTTTTGGGGTGATGGAAATGTGAACTCTTAATTTGGCTGGAGCATGTGTGCATGGAAGGTTAGACAGCTGGGCTCTACTGTGGAGCTGCTACATTAGCTGGCAGATATGACTACTCACAAATCACAAAGCTACCATTTGAATTGTACCCTCTTTTCAATTAGTTTTATTGACAAAAAGCCATTAATCAAAGAACAGATCCAAGAAATTCCTGAGAAAGCAAAAGGGGAGATCTGAAATAATCACATGAATCATTTGGACCTCACCAAAAGCCTTGTAGGCCGCCTCGTGTCTGTGCATTCATGAGGTTGCAGCCAAGAACAGTGAAGGGCCTGGTTAAAGATATGTTGCTACTGACACAGGGAGAAACGCAAAAAGTATGTGACCTACCTCTAGTAAGATTTTAAAGTATTAGATTGGCATGGCTTACCGTCACTGCGGCCCAGGAGCAGAAATACACAAGCAAGTCATTGACAAGTAAAGACACAGATGTGGGGTTAGGTCAATTGATAAAATGGTGCATTTCCCTGACAAATTAAGGATTTAATTTCAAGTCCAAATCCCCCTTTTCTTATATCAATCACTGTAGAGGAGCGCCATCTATGGCTCACATCTAAGAAATTCGTTTTTTTTTTTAGGAACACACATAGAGACAGCAGTCATGACGCAAGAAGACAGTATTAAACATTTAGCCCAAAACAAGAGCAGCTTACACGACTGTTCACACGTTTAAGAGCTTGATCATCATTTGTTCAGTCATTCATTGGCATGGCAAGAAAACTAGTGTTTTGCATTAGGAGCATAAATGCACATTATATACACTGACACGAATGCCTGTCTCTGTAGTTAATAAGGCACTGAAGTTGGAGGGGCTGTAGAAACACAGGCATGGATATACTGAGCTTGTATGCAGAGTTTTAAACCCCAGGGCGTGATATTGATTTGAAATCTGACCAATGATGTCCACAGACTTATACAACGAGCATGTCTTTAACAAATTATGAGCAGTCCTTACAAACACAAATGACTGATATTTATGGTAAATGTGATAAAACTTTCAAGACAATGTATTATATGTCCACTTGACTGTCTATATGAAGATAATAATACTTTTTTTTTTTTTACTGGGATTTGGTGCCTCGATTATCATGGAGAAACAAAACAAAGAGGCAGAAGTATGTGTGTCTCTTTCATAAATCCAGCACTGACTCATGCTCAGTATGTTTCCATTGTGCCATCTCAGGGTCAGGTACAGTCTTTACATTCCAGTGAAACAGACACTTCTTCCGTTGTCTCACAGTATTTTCATGCCTTGCATTTACACAGAAATGAATGACAGAGTAACCTGACATCAACCAGATTTGTTTTGTTCAGAGTTTTGTTATGGCGATGTCCATTATTTGTTCTGTGAATGACCTGCGACTGACTGACCGGTCATGATACCAAGCCATGGTTCACTGGAAGCACCTCACTACGACAGGCATTGCAGGACTTCACTGTGTATCAAATCCTTATTTGATTCCCCAAAGTTCCTCTTCAAACAGTCGTCGGGCTTTGGTTGACAAATTCTGTCTGGAATTCGTCAAACTGTGGATTCTTAATAGCTTCATGCTGAGGAGTTTATGACAGGCGAGGGATAGTTCGGTTAATCCAGGCAAAAGGCAGAGAAAGTACAAAGAGAAGTCAGATGCCTCAGTCTCCGTAACGGAATTGTTCACGGAAAGAAAGCGTCACCGCTATCCTTTGTTGCACATAGATATCCATCCGTAATCAATTATTTCCATGTTCATTTATATTTTCTGTAGTGTTTTCATGGGAACTCAAGAATTCAGCTGTGAAATATAGAAGACAAAGAAGGATGATTATTTTTGATACATTGAAAGTTAATACAGTCATTTTTTTTAGGCTTGTAGATAAAATAGTCACATGACGCTAGATAATCTGTCCATTTCTTTACTGTAGTTAAATTCCTATTGATCACCCACAACCAGCATTTCTTATTTCAAACATGAATCTGTCCATTATTTTAATAGTTCAGTATTGTATGAAAGATAACAGGTATGTTTATGCATGGCAGAGGCACTAATAGGCCATCACTCATTTTCGTTTCCACATTTATGTTTAAAATAAAAACGTCAATTTGAATAGCTTGTATGATTATCATGCAATTGACAGACGATGTTGATGTTGGCATTGGTATCAGCTGACAAGGTATGTTTATAAATGGCAGTGGCACGGCCCCCCTACTCACTGTACCTTGCACATGTTTAAAATAAAAACATGAATATATGAACCTGTGTATTATTTGAATAGCTTAGTATTGAATGCACAATAAAGAGGTATGTTTATACACGGCACTAGGCCCAGTTTAATATAAAACACAATTGTATACAATATATATAGTCAGGGGTCCCTGCTCCATCTCTCTATCAGTTTGGGGGTCCTTGGCCTGAAAAACATTGAAGACCCCTGACCTAAGCTGCATGTCTTTGGACTGTGGACTGACACGAGGAGCACATGCAAATCCCATGAGGAAGGCCCCCCCTATGAGGCGACAGTGCTAGCCACTACACCACCGTGAAGCGCTCTTCTTAATATATATTATTTTCTCCGCTGCCCCACTGATAGGCCCTTTTCACAGCAGCCATTTTGACATATCATTGCAGGGTAAACAAAGGTGTAATTAATGAGATTAATTATGGCCCCGATCCACTGAGAATGGGCCAGGGCCCTTGTATTCTGCATGCTGGCTCACTGAAATGTCTGTGACACACTAAATAGAATGGGACCATAATTCATTTTATCAATTACAGCTGTGTTTACCTCTATGGCTGCAGTGAAAAGGGCCTATATCTGCATTTTCAATCATGAAATCATTTTAGGCATCTCGTATATACGTAGTACACTGCATGCTTACCTTCCCATGAAGGGCCAGGTGGCTCACTGTTTCCTCCTGACCACCTGTTTGAGGTGGAGCTCACTCTCTGCTGCTACAATAGGCAGCTCGTTCTTAAGGTGGTATGAGATAAGGTGGCTTATGCTCTCAAATAACATGTCTTTGGTTCGGACCTGTGCGGAGTACAGATAAAGACGGGAGGATGTAAGTTATTGTGTTCACTACATAAAGCACAAACCTTCCAAGCAGGATGTACAGTATGAACTTTTGTATTTTTGGTACGCTGTTTTTAGCTTGCTGCCGGACTCACCACTCCCTCAGGGTCCACTAGCAGTAGGTGTTTGGGCAGCCCACAGTGCATGCCGGTTAGCACATACTGTCCTGGGTTGGTAGTGCTCTCCCGGACCAGGAAGTCTCCGTCTCGGACCAGGAGTTTCTCTGCGTCTCGCCTGCTCATGCGGCTGTGGTACCACATCTCCCTGCGGAGCTGCTCCTCGTTTGGGGCCACGGGGGCTCGACGGCGTGGAGGGCTGGGCCACTGGTCCTCCAGGATCCGGACACCCCCCCCTCCAGCTGCAGATCCAGCAGCTCCTCCACAGGCCTCGTGGAGCTTCAGGGCGTCCTCGAAGGGCCCTAAAAGGACAACGATTTTTCAAAAAGACAAATGTGGTCACTCTATAGTATTTTTCAAAATGTGTCAGCCTGTGTCCCAGTAACCCTCAGGACTTACTCATGTCAAAGAGGTCCATTTTTGGACTGTCTGGTGCCCGGGGCCCTCTGTGTGCATTGGGCCCCTGCGCCAGGGAATCCAGGTTTTCCAGACTTTGGGTGTTGACGTACTGATGTTCCTCGTAATCTCTGCTGCCTGGTGGCTGGCCGTCAGCACACAGGTAACCATCTGATGTCAGACCTGAGAAAGACAGGTGCCCTCAATACATTTTTTTAATTCTGGATGTGTGTGTGTGTGTGTGTGTCATGTATGTGTGTGAAACATGTTTGTTTCTAATCTTTTGACTCCATCTAGTGGTCAAAATCACAACTTGAAATATTGAGCTTTGTCAGGTACCACATTGTATGAATAGATTACTTCAATAAATAATCTAAGACAATCAAACCAGTTGCTCTATTGATCTTAAGTGGGTGTGTATTGCTAAAGTCATAATCATAGAACAATTGTAAGTAGCAACCAATGACGAGGCAGCCGTCCCTCCACCAAAACAGTAAAGAAGCTTCTCACAATACTAATATTAAATAACAAATGTTAACTGCTGTGTTCATTGCATATTTCTACACTAAATTTGTCTGAATCTTATCCACGACTATATTATTATGTCAAAAGTCTTTCTACTATTGTTTTAAAAGTCTTTTGTCAAGAAGGCCATCCTGAATAATAATCCCAAGAATCCTAATTCTAAGTAACCTTCATTCAGGGCACAAAGTGCAGTGAGGACTGGTCATGTACCATAACAAGTCACACAATGTCAAATATTTTCAGAGAGATAAGAACACACAATTTCATCACAAATGTATTTCCAGGTGTAATACCCCTCTACGGCCACCGGGTGTCTCACCTGAGCTGCTGGTCGTCTCAGTGTCCCAGTGCAGTTCATAGCACAGCTGGCCGGGGGGATAAGAAGCCTGCTCCCTCCTCGCTGGGGAGCCCATCTGCAAACACACACAGCAGAGGAACACATCCTCAATACATTTAGTAGCTCTATATACCTGAATGGACAACTCTCTCATCTCTTGTCCTGCACCTAATGTAGTTTGGAAGCACTCTATTTCAAACATTAGCTACAGCATGTCACCGTCATTTGAACAAGGGAGAAAAGGAATGATTTCTCTCACGCGGTGGGCAACAGAGGAGCCAAGGCTTTTTATGTAATCACATCTATCTTTGGCAATTACGGTGCAGGCACATTGGGAAGACATGATGGAGTATATTTTCATGCTCCAGCTGTTTAATTCCACGTAAACAACACGGGGAAGGAGCAAGAAAACATATCAGTCACCGGTTGATGAGGGAGCTGTCAAAGAGCTTGGCTGTCATTGTCTGGTAAAGTTTAGTCATTGACAATGTCCAGATGGAGCTTTGATTACATCTGATGATGTTAAGATGGTAAGGTTACGTCCAGAAACAATCGTGCCTGGAGATTCACCTGTGCTGCCGTCTTGCTCTGTGGTTGTGTGTGGATGTGACCCAGCAGAGCTCCATTTGGCCTGAGTCTAGAGTCCACCACTCCCCCGACAGGAGGCTCCTTCCCTGGGATGCTGTTGTAGTAATTATGTTCAGAGAAGTCCTCATCCTCCCCCCACATCACCTCTTCTGTCCTGACAGACCTGAAGAAGTGAAAAAGATACATTTGATTATCATAACCACACAATTAACACCACAACTTCGATAATGTAAACTACTGGTTCCCAAAATGGGGGTCTTAGCCCCGACTGGGGGTCGCCGAAGCCTCACACGAGGTCTTACAAGTTGTATTCTGTTGTCGTTTTGGATTTGTGCACATATTAGGGTTTTCCATTGTAGTTTCAATTGCAATCTATTGTTGTTTTGTTGCTTTTGTTGCTGATATACAATACTCCCTATTCACTTTAACTTGTACAACACTTTACAACTCTAGTTGTTTTTAAATGTGGTATACACATAAACTTGACTGTTTGATTTTAAGGGCTGTAAGACAGCTTTAAAAAATATACACAGTTGGCCTATATCTCAGCATTTCTGTAAAGATAAAAAATGTCTAAAGTGTGAATTATTGTTTAAGATCTAAACTAAAAAAGAAATCTCAAAGGATGAAGGCACGGTGAAGACCTGAATACAAGCTGTATTCAGAGAGCCTTCCCTCTCTGCTAAACAGCCTCTTCCAGCATTAGAAATATGCGCAGTTAAACCAACCAAAGAGACAATATAACAATGGCCAAGCGTCAAGAGGAAAACACTAAATTGGTCAAAAAAGAAGCCTACTACGTATGTACGATTGTTAAAAATAAAAGTAAATTAATAAATATATAATACAGTATTTTAATAAAGATACTAACGCAATATTCACAGGAAATAATCGTTATTGCGTTCACTATTTGGGTTAGTTCAGTCTGTTCAGATCCGTTCTGTACTGTTATTGTTATGCATGATGTATAATATAAATATGTCACTTAGTCAGGGGTCGTCAGTTTTCGCAATGATAGAAAAGGGGTCCCTTTAGGAAAAGGATTAATGTTGAAATCATTATTGTATTATTGTATTATTACGCTTTATAGTGATTAATAGTATCATAATGATAAGGAGATCTGGGTTCTCAAAAGGATTCAGTCTGATTAGATGACATGTCCACATCTGAAAGGGATCTTTATAAATCTGATAGAGATTCATCAGATTTAACAGTCCGTAGTTTCTCTTGTGTCTGCAGTGGCATCACTGCAGCACTTGGGGTTTGCTCCAAAGAGGTGAGAAGATCAGTGCGGATCAATATTATGAGACGGACTTTAGGTAATACAAGAACAAGCTATCATGTCTCCTTGTAACAAATAATAAAGAAATGTGAGAGTTGAACAGTAGATCAGGTGTTTGAGGAGGAAAACGTGACTAAGCTCTTTTATGTCGGACACCTGGTCAGTATTTATGTCAAAGTGTGATTGATTGTGCCAACCTCCAATTTCACTTCCTGTGGGTGTCAATCTTCCTAAAATAACATAAAATGTTTCCTTGACATTGAAGTGTCAACAATTTTAATAGTATTTTTTTTGTTTTTGCAACAGGAACTTACAACATGCAGTTATTTCTCAGCACCATGGTGCCTGTTATTTTACAAATCAATGATTATCTGTCGTGTCGCCACGCCACAGATTTTGAGGACAGTAACGAAAACGCTTTTCATCGTTTAATAGAAGTCATGATTGTGGCTGTGCAGCATGTTACCTCTCCATAGACGCCATGGTTTTGGGAGGACTGTGTAGGTACTGTTTGAACTGCAGCTCGAAGGCTTGGCCGATGGTACTGATGACACCCTGGGCTAAACCGTCTGAGCACTCCAGGATGTGACATGCTGCAGGAAACAAAACAAGAGAATACTAGCTTAGCGTTTAACCATTTCTTTCCAAAACACTATATGGTCATTTCGATTTTTCTTTTCTTCCTTTTAATGAGGCGATACCTTGCTAAAGAATATTAGTAATTTCTATTCTAAATCAAGAACTGTAGACGAGGTTAAAGTAAAGTCTACTTTCATATCAAGAATAGCTTCCAATATGCTATGAGCTCACTTTTTTAATTTAATACTATGTCATTGTGGCATCATAAAATACATATAAAAGTGAGTAATCCATAATTAAGATACAATCCATTATTGTATAAATGTGGTTATGAAACTGAGGCTTTTCCGGACGTACCTCTCTGATTCACTGGGTCTTTGGCCACATACGCAACATAATCAGGCGTGTCCTGCAACAGAAAGGCAGATAAATCTAATTAGACCAGATAAATTAGACATATATAACTAAATAAAAGCCCTCATTGATTCTTTGGGTCATGAGATTGGAAACCAGTAAAATGGAATCCAGTCAGATGTTTGCAGTCTGCGAACATGTCCATTCCAACAACAACGTAGAGAGCTGGGAGCGAAACGCTGCACTCACTGTGTCTCCTCCAGAGGCAAATGAGATGGACTGCATGGGATGGTGTGCTATCACCTGAAAGAGACAAGCGGATAAAACAGAGGAACATTGATTAATGTGGATACAGACAAGACATATGGGCAGGAAGATAAGAGATGTCAAAGCACAAAATAGTTTAGTAAGCAGTTAGTCAAAACATTCAGGTTTTTAACACGATGCCAATACACTTTTGAAGTTAAGTGTTACTACACACCGATTATTTTTCATATTTTTATTTTCAGCAAAGACGAAATGCTGCTGAACATCATGTCAACCGTTATAGAACGATGTAATATTTAACAATGACCACCCCGACTATTATTAAATAAGAAAACTTAATTTATTTGTGGTCAGGAAGAAACTCTTTTTAGCAGTAGACAATAACTACTACTACTACAAATAATAATTGAATTAAGGCCAGACACGACAGGCAACAACATCATTTTTCATGCACTGATTTTTCTTTCAGACAAGTGGAAATAGTCACAAACTGAATTGTTGAAGGCAGATTTTTTTATTTTTTTTTTTTTATTCGATTTTTCAAAATACCAAAGAGATATCCAAAATTTCCCGATAAAAAACTTTGACTCTAATCTGCCAACAAACATCATACCTGTCGTGTGGTGGGGATAAGCAGACCGAGGCCATCTATGGAAATATTGACGGCAATACCCATGCCTGCAAATCGCAGATTACTTTTCCCCATAACGGACTGGAGCGCTTTGTTATGGGCCTGCATGAGGAGGAAAAAAGAGAGAATGCAGTAGAATTTACAATCACATTTTTTAAACTGTACTTTTATTCAGAAAACATTAAACGTCATCCTGTACTTACTGCATTTGTTATGAGACAAAGTACTTGTTTATGTTTATCAGGACAATTCAGACATCATTTAAGTGTCTTAGGTTTCTTAAAACCACCGTACTAACCTGTGTGTTAACCCATAGTTCTCCAGCAGGGGTACAACAACTTAGTATGTAGTAACAGTAGTGTAATGAAACATGCAAAGTATGAGTTTCCTATTAACCTTCTTCTTCCACGCTCCCTTCCCGCCTGGCACAGTGTCACACAGCCTGTTGATGGCTTCCCTAATCAGGAGAATGAAGAGAGGTCAACGGTCAGACTCCAGTGGGACACTGATCTCAAAGCCTCAAGGACACTAAAAGTTAAAATCACATGGATTCCCTTCAACAATATCAGGAGCATAACTGAGACTGAACGTTTTAAATGCTGAGTCAGAGTTCAGGGGTACAAAAAACTGCTGCGTCACAATAATGGATTAAACAAGAACAGAAGCTTTGTGTTCCCTCCCTTGGGCTAAGGTCACAGGTCGCAGTTCAAATGTCAAGAAAAGGTTTCCAGCAGGTCTGTTCGCCAGCACTAAACTAGTTCTTACCACTGATGTTAACCGACAGTGATTTATCATCCCGTGTTTAACTCCCTGTCCAATTAGGGGAGAAGAAACACTATAATTTGCCAAAATAAAGTGTCTTCCACTGCTTCTTTAGGGCATCGTTACTCACATTTATTTTCCTGCAGTGCAATTCTCTCCGCAGGTTTGTAACAACTTTGCAGTGAAGCTGCTATAACTCCTGGGATCGGTCGCCTAATGGGTGTTTAAAGCCGCTGTGTGTCTGGTGGCGGGAGTGTGGCATAATGTGGAATTGAGGCTGCAGGGGACGGCGGGGACGGCAGGCAAGAACCCAGCTGCCCCTATCAAGTGGCTCGTAAATATTTAAAAAGCAGCGTCCCGGGCCCCATCTCGAGTAAAGGTCTCAGGGATTTTTGAAAAACACCAGAATGTTCAAATGACTCATGCTGATGAGAGGGCAAAGGCATGAGGAAGAGGAGGAGGAGGAGGAGGAGAGAGATGGGCTGTTGTTGTTTTTGTCTGCAGTGTCGGTATCTTCCCTGCAATAAAATGCAGGGCCCCATTAACGCTGGTGTTGCTGTTTAACGCCGTGACACAGAGAGTACTGTTGGGAAAATGGAGCTTCTTCAAATCTAGGAGCGGAAGTACATTTTTGAAATACTGACAACCACTGAATGTTTTTGGTGTCGTTTTCCAGGACTAAATGAACTTGTGTACAAGTCAGCTCGCTGAAAAAAGGCCACGCTGTGGACACGTAATAAAGGTTTAGACTTTAAAACGCCGCTTTTGAATTGCACCCAGCAAGAATTAACATAGAGTAAAATATCTTGTTAAATTTGTTAGATTGATTAAGACGATCAATCATTGATTTTTGACCTTATGGGACGGATGCCCCCCCCGTGTTCCCCAAGGTATCAGAGACCTCATGCCGTTAGCATCACTGGGAAAATGTCAGTTTTAAAGCTGCTATTCATAAAATGTCTTGCACATGCAACTGAATGGAAAAGGCATTCAACTGAGGGAACGACTCTATAGTTAACAACCGCAAGGATGCAAAAATAAAACATATTTGTCATCAATGCACTAAAAGTATAATGACTAAAAGCTGGCTTAGTCATCTTATGCTGGGTTTGATTTCTCCATTTGCTAATGTTTTGCTTTTTTTTTTAACTCTCCTCCTCCTCTTCAAGAAGTTACAGCCGCAGACATTATCCAGCAGGGTGCGTTCATGGGGACCACTGCAGCTTTCCACAGTCATTAGTAAACATCATCAATAATAGATCTCCCTCTCTATCACTCCATCCTCTGCAGTCTCCTCCCCCTGCACTTAAGCCTCGGATGCACGGTGGGCTCCGATTACATGCCGATCGATTGTGGAGGAGAGAGAGGAGGGCGAGAGACAGAGAGGGAGGGAGTGTGTTTCTCCCATGAGGCCCAGGATTGCAAAGAGCCCTGCATTTATAACAATAACATCACATGTAGGGCATAACAACACGACACAGACACACTAAGACCCCGAGGTGTACTTCTCTATGTATCGTCACTGGGCACATATACATTAACATTGTATTGCTGCCATTCTTCAAAACCTCCTGACTTAAGTTTTGGTTTACATTGTTTATACTTGCATTAGCATTTCATTTTCGTGGTAAATGATGAAGTAGGTTTTGGTAAAAGTTTCTCCACATTTCCACAAAGTTAGCTATAGGTGTAACCCAAATATAAACATTTAACAGCATTGACACTATAGGTAAATTTAAATCAAACCAAATTAACTCTAAATAACAGCCACAAACTGACACATACCGCTGGTAGAAATTTGATATCATAGTGGCTGTTACTTCAGTTAATCCTATATATATATATATATATATATATATATATATATATTGGATCAAATTCTCCTGACTCATCACTACTAGTGTAGATGGTCACCAGCATACCTTGTCACCTGAGTCCGCGTGTTGAAGTCCAGGGAGCGCATTGACTTCAATACTTCAATGCAGCCCATGTACTGCAAAAAGAAACAAACAGAAAACAAGTTTGGGAAATAATAATTATCAACGTGTCATGTGAATTTTAAAATAAATGCTGAACTTCAAAAAAACTCACTCTGGAAAACTATTGAGGTCACTGGCTTTCTGAGAACTTGCATAATAAATAAGCACTTTAAAGTAGTATAGCAAATGTTGCATTTGGAGTAAAATGTTTCAAAAAAATCTTCCTTAAAAAATATGCAGTCTACAATATGTAATCCATGAATGGTAAGCATGACAATTTTCCCAAAATGCATCATAATCGAACTTAAAACCCCATATATAAGGCCATTAAAGTGTACTCCAGCTGAGCAGCTTCCTAATGGCTGTCAGGTTGGGGTGATAATAGCACCTTGACTAGATTAGCAGCACTAAGAGCTCCAAATCATGGAGAAACTGCAGCTTCTCAAGCCTCTGGGGGATGCTGAGGGTGCGAGTGTGTTTGTGTATAAAATCCATCCATGTGAGGATGTCTTGTACTGATTTGAATATCTGTCAGGTTTACATGAAAAGACGAAGGCGTGTGTAAAATGTGCAATTCATACATCTATACATCAGAATAATGAAAAATCGTCTGACTGTGGCACATTCACAGCCTTGATTAGGACAAACCAATAAATAACATTTAAATAAAAAGAATAGCACTGTTGGCGTTACCATTGAATGTGAAAGGCAGCATCAGTGGCTGTGTTTCGCCTGCACTCATCTCAAATATCATACAGACCTTCGTGACGTAAAACTCTTCAGCGGTATATTAGCTTATGTGATTTATGAACTCTGTGTGAAACTAATACGGTGCTACATAATTCATATCCTCTCCAACACCACTTTGGCTCAGTTGATGCCATATTTAGTGCAGTTTCCAGGATTGTTGGTGACTGCAACGGACAGCAGACAGACCACACGGCAGCCATACAAACAAACACAGAGAGAGAGAGAGAGAGAGAGAGAGAGAGAGAGAGAGAGAACAACCTTTGAGCCCGAGAGCTTAATGAGCGTTCTAACCAGATTTGGAGACGAGGGGAAGTCTTCCATCAGGAAAATTGTCTCTCTTTTTTCCTTCCCTCTCTCTGCCAATGCCTCCATTGTCACACACTCATCTGCTGATGAAACGCATCCCCTCTTCTATCACCCTATCTGCACTGCCCTTCCTTTTGGACCAAGTCTCCAGCACACGATTCCTAGTACTGCAGGGACACCGACTGTCCGAGAAGCATTCCTCGGAAATGTAACAACACTGGCATGCCCGGGGTAAACTTTGTGGCATTGTGCCTCCTTTGAGATAAATCATAGTCGTTTTGTAGTTTATCAATGTAGAAACTAATGCACTAATGTCCCATTTACTTATGTAATAACTTCTCATTTAACCACTAAAGGCAAGGCAGGATCGAAAAGCATGTAAGTTGTGTAACGATGGATGGGCGGATGATGGACAGATACTGAGGACAGCAGGATGTTACCAAACAGTATCTGGATAGTGTAGGTGATGAATGAGTAGGGTCTCCCCCCCCCCCCCCCAAAGTTCTGTTGATGCAATCCTGTCTTGTAATTCATGTTGCCAAAGTAAATGTCTCATGTCCTGGACAACAAAGATCCTTCTCTCATACTTTTGTGCACTGACAGCATCTGACCACAAAATGTACTCGCTGCACCATGGAAGGACCTTTCTGGTTAGAGGTATTCATAATGTGACTGATTAATACTGTGCTCCAGACTGTGAGGGAACAGCATAAAATGATAGCAGTCTGGTTTTTATGTTGCTCTCTCAATGATAGCAGCGTTGGCAGCTGCAGTGCTTTGTTTGATGCTTGCTTGCTGCAGTGTCCTGGCTGTCAAAGAGGGCAGATGCAGGCCAGACACAGAGCCTGACATGGCTGTGTGGACAAAGGGAAAGTGCAAAGGAGGAAACCAATACTGCAAAACATACTTGTGTCTTCACCAGCAGAGGAGTGACTGTGTGGGAGCGAGAGGCACTGAAACAGAAATAGAGGGAGGGAGAGCTGTACGCTATGCTATGCTGAATAAAAATGGCACAGGGCAGCAGAAATCTTCTGTCACATTGACACTAATACATGCAGCAAGTGCTCCTCCCTGCATAGATTTACCACTGAATTGCACGTATAGTTCTGCATCTCAAACATTAGCTTGCACAGGTTATTTAAAATGATTGCACAGCAATGAGCGCACTCCAAAGCTCGGTCTGACAATTAACCGAGATATCAATCAAACATTGGAGCAGCACTTGTTATGAATCCGGGAAAGCTTTGCATGATGATAGGAGCTCATCACCGGACCCCCTCCCATACCGACCCAACCGTCCTCATCCTCATCACATGATGCAAATGACTGTGATTAAATGTAATTGAATATAGGAATGAATGGTGCCTGTATAATGGCATTAGAAGGCGTCCTTGAGCCCCAGGCTGAGCTAATCAAGAGCCATGTCATTAGTTTGAGGAGAGGGGGGGGGGGGGGGGAGCAGCGCAAGAGGGGCAGAGGTGAACAGGAGCGGGGGATCGCTAAGGGGAGATCATTGACATTGACGTCAAGCAGTCTGCTCGGGGTGGCAACCCCTTTGTAAACACAAATCACAAGTCACCAACTACATTAAAGACTTGGATTCGCTCAGATATTGTAACTCACATTTCGTGGATACGATCTTAAGTTGTCCTTGCACACGTGAATGTAAACAATCCAGAAACCACACAAACACTCCCACAAGCTTACAGTGGGAGCTCACAATCAGGCATAGGTTGCATGCACTATAAATACAGATGGTTATTTTTCAAAGTAGATCATATGATGCATACAACCTTTGGTAAACACTGCAATAATAAAATACCTTGCTACAGTCTGTGCACATCATTCTAATGGGTGATCTTTCTCCACCCTGACGCCGGTGTGCTATCCTGTCGCAGTCACACCAAGCCATCTATCTGGATTATATATTCCCCAGCCCTCACCACATGAGCTGCATAACAAACTGCCTGGCACTGTGGTGTCCTTTTGTTTCCCACCCAGATAGAGAAACCTATAAATGGGGCTATTAATATTTCGTGGTTCATCGATTCTTGTGAGCAGTAAATATGTGAGCACCAGAGGAAGAAAAGTTGTTTCTTTTTGTTGCGCACACTTTCCAAACAAACCCTGAATTAAGTGGATGTTTAAGAAGTGTACCTTTACAATGTATATACTGCATGCATTAAAAAAAAAGGTGCCCACTGACTCACCCTGACAATATAAGAGGCCCCTGGTCCTGCTATCTTCTTGTCAGGGTGCAGCCAGCCTTGAGAGGGTTTGTGGATGAAGCCACCCTTCTGGGTGAAGTCCTCTCCCTCGAGCCACATGCCTTCCACCCTTGTCCTGCGGACCATTCCTGACCTGGAGCCGCTGGAACCCCCAGGGCTCGCCATGGCCTCTGTGGCCCCAAATCCGTGGCCCCCTGGATTGGCAGAGTTCGCCGCCGCAAGTGCTCGCTGCCCTCGAATGGCCTGCAAGGAACAGGGGGTGACACAGACAGGGTCACAAGAGTTAAGCACCGCTGCGAGACTGGCCACCGGGCCGCTGGCTGAGGCCACACCACTGTGCCTGTGTGATGAGGAGCTATGTGAAGAAGAGGTCTGGGAAGGAGCCGCCTTCCCTGGGTCCTTGCTAGAGCTGGAGCTGGACGGGCTCCGGCTGAGCAGGGAGTTGGAGAACTTCCACTGGGGCATCCTGGGGATGAGCATGCAGAAAGTTGTGGTGGTATCCTGCTCCCCATCCAGGGAAGGGGAGTCGGCCAGGGCTGCAGCCCCGGCAGAGGAGGACGATCTGGCAGTGTGATCCAGAGGAGGCAGAGGAGGCAGGGGAGGCAGAGGAAGGCTCGTGGCGGAGACCACCGGTGTGGCCACAACTTTGCCGCTCATGGCTAAGCTCTGCATCAGGTCGTCAGAGGAGGTCACAGACTCGTTGCGAAAGCGGCCATACTTTGGCTTAAGGAGCATGCCCGGAGGAGCCGCCTGGAGCAGGAGCTGAGAGGGGGGGGGATCACTGCCAGAGGGATGGGGAGGGGGGTAGGGGGAAGGGGGAAGGGGAGGGGGAGAGGTGTAATGGAGGAAGGGGGGGAAACTAGAGAGAAAATCTTCCAGGTGGAGTCCTATATCCTTGTCAACTGAACGCCGTCTGGTCCTCTCCCGTTCACACACATGCACACACACACTGTCCCGCTCTCAGGCCACTCTCCTCTCTGTCTGAGCTGGCCTGCTTCCTTTCACTGCCTTAGGCAGGCTCGCTGGTATACTCCCATTCTCCCTCTCTCTCTGTCTCTCTCTCTCTCTGGATGATGTCATTGGGTCTATTAGCCCTGCCCTGCCCAGCTGCTCTCAGACTGTATCAGCTAAAACACATCTGCCTGAACCGCAGTCAACCTCACACACACACACACACACACACACACACACACACACACTCTCTCTCTCTCTTTACAGAGCACCTATTTACTATACCGTAAGAGAGATTCTGCAAATGGATAACCTGTGTCAGTATATGTTAATCTTGAGGCTCAATTAGCAGCAGTATTTCAAACCTTTAAAATTGAACAATGCTGCCACTGTATAAATTTGAGACAACTGCAAAATGCAATATTAACATTATAAATACAATTACTGTGAAGTGAAGGGTCACTCGGAGAATCCACTTTCTTTTCTCTCTCTCTAGGTCAGGGGTCTTCAACATTTTTCAGGGCAAGGACCCCCAAACTGATAGAGATGGAGCAGGGACCCCCGACTATATATATTGTATAAAATTGTGTTTTATATTAAATGGGCCTAGTACCGTGTATAGCTCTTTATTGTGCATTCAATACTAAGCTATTCAAATAATACGCAGGTTCATATATTCATGTTTTTATTTTAAACATATGCAAGGTACAGTGAGCAGGGGGGCCGTGCTACATTTATAAACACACCTTGTCAGCTGATACCAATGCCAATATCAACATTGTCTGTCAATTGCATGATAATCATACAAGCTATTCAAATTGATGTTTTCATTTTAAACATAAATGTGGAAAACAAAACATTAGTGATGGCCTGCCATGCATGAACATACCTGTTATCTTGCATACAATACTGAACTTTTAAAATAATGGACAGACTCATGTTTGGGGAAACAACCAAAAATTTCGCAGGCCCCCTGCAGTACCTCCGCGGACCCACTAGGGGCCGCGGACCCCCTGTTGAACACCTCTGCTCTAGATGATAAATATTGAATATGAATAGACATTAAACGAAACTAAAAGCTAAATATATGAAAAATAAGCAAGCACTCCTGGTACCCTACCATCAATGTATTTTATAAATGTTTATATCTATTAGTAATGTATTTTACAGTAAGCATCAGCCCTAATCAGACTAGGAATGTTTTTCATGAGAGCTCAAAATGTGCAATGTACTGTAGAGTTTTAATGAAACACAAAATAGAAATAATAATTATAATATGGATTGTGAATGTGAGTAAATGTACTGGAATGAGTTTCATCTCATTAGTTAGAGTGTATTATGTGTGTGTGTGTGTGTCTCATCCATCTCCCCAGGGAGCAATCGGCCATTCCCAATCAAATCACTTCCACTCTGATTTCCACTCACAATTATAATTTTATCGTACACAGGAGTAAATAAAGCAGTGTGAAACAAACTGAGTTAAGCAGGTTTTCTCTTTTTCTTTTTTT